GCGAAACGATGAGATGACAGGGCGAATGTGACACTCTTGAATTTAAGATTCAACGCATATTTCATATCCCTAGCTAATACGTTTTACTATATTTCCCTTATAAAAGTGAAATTGATGTTCGGCGAGTCATAATTGAGTCACTGTCAAGTTAGCGCCTCATTTTCAACATTTTTAAGTTGTTTTTTTATTAACAGTTTCGTTTGCATCCGCAATAGCTCCACAGTTTCTGATAGGTTTTAGGAAAAGTTCCGTTGATTCCGTCGATATGTAAAAATGATATTTGAAAATATAACGCGCTAACTTTCGGTGGCGAAAAAAGTTATCTCGACTACAGAATTCGTAAGTCGCATAAAAATTCTGTAGCTCCAGATGAAACTTAACGATAGATCCGTTCGTTAATTTTAAATAATTTTTTAATCTGATTGCTGGCATATTTTTGGAAACTGTGCGCTGCAGACAATTCTGACTTTTTAACAGTTCTCGGCACGTAATTGATCTGTTTATTGGCCTCGGAAACAACGTAAATTGAGTTTCGGATATTATCTCGTTAAATCTGTCGATATCGAATTTTATTCGCGATCGTGAAGAACATTTCCGTTTAGTGAGAAAATACCAATTGTCTCTGTAGAAGCCACGGTGTCATTGAACCAGTTTTCGAATTATTCATCATTCAGATCTCCGTCGTTTCTGTTTTCTACCATCTCAGTCTCTCGGCATTACATTTCCTGACGTACACATTTCGTGCGACTTTTCTCTCATAAATATGTAATATATATAAAAAAATTTCATAGAATTCTATGAAATTTATCGCGTTTCTTTAACAAGATTTCGGAAAGAAATGATCTAATTCTGGTTTCTCGCACGAGAAAAAAAAGAGAATAGATAGAATACGTATATCTTTTAGCATAAAGATATTTTCAATTTCTCTTTCTCTCTTTCTCTTCATACCTTATTGTTAGTCTTTTCGTGTTCCATTTTACTAGTGCACAGAATTTGCGCACTGTACCATTTCATGCAACAATACGTGATATTGCGTGATCTCTTAACGCAAAGTCCGGTAATCGAATATCGATCGTCATCGAGAATATACTGTGCGTCTCGGAGCCGTGTTTTCAATATATTGATTGATGGTATTTAACATACAAGTATTTTGCATATTCATAAGTGCGACGGCAATTGCCTTTTAAGATGTAAACGAGTTGTAAACAAAACCGCTTACGCACACTTAGCCCCTCTTGCATGATGTGGAAAACCTATCGGATTCTTGTACTGTGAAACGCGGAAAAAAACATGCGCGAGATCGTTATCAGTGATTCATGGAATCGCACTCTTGCGCGGAACCGTCTCAACTTTTATATCGCCTACTCAGAAATGTCTTTTACGTCTGCACGTTGTACCCCCCTGTTCGCGAACGCGTGAATCGTTCGCTCTATTTTAGTTTACGCGAATTTTTTAATTTTCATGCGTGAGGTGTAATGCAATTTTTGTAATGAAAATTCAGGTAAACATTTCCTCGTCGAAATTCCCGTTTGCCACGATCGAGTAGAGCAATTAAAGATTCTGGAACGTGAATGAATATAATTCTTTAGCAGATGACTGACAAATGACTGACAAATGATTTTAATTTATTTCGTGGTGTGTTCGGTCATAATAAATATATGCGCGCAAATTGACACACGCGCGCGCGCGCGCACACACATACATGCAAAAGAGCTGAGTATTTTCAATGCCCGGTGGTTTCCAACAGTATGATTCGTATTACGTACAAGCGACGCACAACACGTGCACGCATACGCGCGCGTGTCTTTTATAGGAAAATAATAGTTTCCTGTTTTAATCAGGACAATGATCGAGCGGATAATTAGCAAGTGCGATGACTAGGTCTGACCGATAGATTCAATGTGTATCGACTGAGCCTCGCGTCTCATACTGGCGCTTATTTGCATTGTAAGGCGCTAGCTGGAAATCATAATTCCAAAGCACGTCGGAAGTAATAATGACGAAGGTGAATTTTCTGTCGAGTAACAGCGCAACAGTGCAGTGGTGCAGATGTTCGCCTTGTAATCCCAACGGTCATTTGTGTAAATGGTGGCGCGAATAGACGAAATTATGTTTCTCGTATTAACGCTGCGCAATCAACATTTTACATTATTATTCGAGTCACAATGTACGACGGTTGAAACAGGTAATGCCGTTATTTTCCATGTGATCGAATAATGTGCAAGTTTACGCTACTTGGAAATGCAGCGATGAGATTCTTGTCATTTCCAAGTACTATTCTTTTCCTCGGAGTATTTCCTCGTCTCTGATAATCCGACGATTGAAAATACTTCCTCGTACTTCCTCGTGCTTCCTCGTTCCGTAGAATGCAAATAAAATTAATGAACATTTCCGTTTCCTTGTGCACGTGTAGGCAAATTACGCGTAGCCCCGAATCGAGATTCTTCCCACCGGCGTTAATTATCCGGTTATTTTCCGACGTGTTGTATAAGCGGCACTGATCCACGGAATTACTTCTCTTCAGGAAAAAACCGGAAAACTTTAAACTGTTGTGGAGGTCTTTAATAACTACAAATCTATTTATAATAACTTAAAATCTACAAAACGATAAGGGGATGAACAAAAACAATTCTAAAAAAAGGTATGATTCCATAATACTCGATGCATCGAAATACTATGTAATAAAACTCGGATAATATCACAAAGTCGCTATGAGTAACGAATAAAGTTTCCTTAAACTGTCTGAACTAAGGAGCAGGACGAGTTGAAAATTGAGAGCCGATAAGAATTTATCGTTATATACAAATAACAAAAAAAAACCTGCGCTAGCTAATGCAACGATGAAACACATTGCGTTGCACCGATCATTGACATGTCGGATCAGGTCTTACTTAACAGATCTCACGACTACAAACACGCGACACATCCTCTTTCGTCTTCGATAATGTCACCGCTTACAACCACAGCTGTAATACCTTTGTCGTAGGTCCACGTAACAACGCGTTAGAAAGTAAACGCGCCGTGTAACTTGACATAACTTGGCCTGACGTGCCGGCGTTTGACGCCGTCAATTTTGCGTCTCGATTTTGCCCCCTCTGCCAGTTTCTCTTCTACGAACCTCGTTTGCATACGCGGTGCGACTCACTGCATCGCTTCACAATAAGTTTGATGTAACGCTGCATTAATTTAATTTCTACACGGCTATAATTATTCTAAAATGTAAGACGTATGATTGAATTTTTATTTGATAAAATGATAGAGATAGTTTGATTTTTAATTTGTCACGCTTAATCATGAATTATCCATCACGTATTTATAATTAAAACATGCAGTCATCAATGCAGTTAACTTAATTTAAGTTTTATTCCACGACGACGTCATTTTATTAATTTTTTTGTGATTGCTTATCGGAATGTGGCTGTAAAATTGTAACAAAAATCGAAAGTTTCATACCGAATAGAGTTGGACGAATCATAACTGAGCGACACTTGGTGCAAAATTACTTTAATTCTGCGTTTTGAGCCATACGACCGGATATAAGTCCGCGATCCGCAGGGTTTAATGTTTGCGCTAGGAGTGCGTGCTAGCGTAACCTGTTGCACAGCTTTAAGGTGTATTGTACAAAAAAAGAGTATACATTATTTACAAGAACATTATTGCAGCACTATTAAAACTTTTTGCACGCGACACGATAGCGCCGGTGTCAATGGCATTGGAAAGACTCGCGTCTTGATGGAACTAAATAAAAAAAAAACGTAAAAATCCCCCTTTATCTTGTCTCTCATTCGAAGTTGATTTTGTAATCGCGACACAAGAAACTTTATTTCTCTCGGGGAAATAAAAAATTCGTCAATCACGCAAATGTTTTTTTCAAAAGCGAATGGCGTCAAGTAAATTGTGTTTGTAGCGCACTAGCTTCTCTGCAAAGGTCGCGGTTCTCCCAAGATTACGCGATTTACTTGCCATAATCGCGCAACGCCACGTAACCGCTCGTGCAACGTTATCTCACTCTTCTCCGATACGACAACGTCCTGTTACGCAATCGCACTCCGCCAGTAAGAGCCGATCAGGAAGAACAATTAGAAAGCTGCACGGAGGCGTTCGGTCGCGTGGGTTCTTGTACGATTCGGCCAGTCTCACCTGCTCGCCGTTAGCGATGGTCCACGGATCTAACAGTTTGCAAAGACGTCGGGAAATCTTCGTGATTATCTCATTATATAAATACTGATATTTATAAGCTTCTAAAAGGTAGGAAAAGAACATATCCGAGAACCACGTTACGAAATTCTACGATATTTGTAACACACAAAAATTATTACTGACACGATCGTAATTCTTACGAAATCGGCAAGAATTAGGCCAAGTAACGACGCTCAAGGACTAAAGTGTAATAGTTTTGGTTGATGAACACAAATTTGCGATATTCCTTTCCTCAGGCATCGCTACGGGCGATAAAATATCGAGCCCGCCTGAACCGGCGACTTTCTCGAACTCAATACATCCCTGGCTCGGACAGCTACCGATCCACCTCTATTTTACGCTTCTCTCACCCCCCCTACCTGCTCTTTTCCTCATAGAGTCGGGCCAGATCTTGCTCACTTCGAGGAAGCCACCTCAGTGATAATCCGAGTCTACGTCAAAACTGGTTGGTTTAATACCTTGTCTCGGACCGAATACGCGATTCCTTCCTCACTCGGTGCTCGGACCATTCGGATCTTTATCGGTTCCCCGCAAGTAATCACGAATAATTCGCGATCCATTTCTTGTAATTCAACTCAATATTATCTTTCAAAGTGATTTTGTCTCGATTAAGTTTTACCGGTTCTACATGGAGACAATTGTTTTTTAATTTATCCTGAAAATCATGTAATCGTCGGACAATATGGCAGCATTTCGAAGAATTTTATGAGAGTTTCTCGAAATACATTTTACTAGTCGAATGTATGGTAAAATTTCAAAAAACTCTCACACAGTTCTTCAAAATGCCCACGATTACGTGATTTTCAGGGTAAATTTTAAGAAAAAATTCTCCGTGTAGAAAAAGTAGTTTCAACGAATTCTGATTCTTCAACGCGACAACGCAAAAATAAACGTCACTTCTCTATTGTCTTATAAATTTCATATCTTCTTTTAATTCGTATTATTCGGATTTTTACTCTATGGCTCGATAATTTGATACCAATCTCTCTAAAAGTCAATCAGTGAAAATCATCACTGAAAATAGCGAATATTCACTTATTGACTTTTAGATGGGTTTAATTCCGACGTTTTCCTCTATTGTTTGATAATAATTGCCAAAGATTGTTGCGTGGTCGGATATCATTTGCATTTTATAAATGATGGTTAGCTATCGTGTCGAAATCTCAAATTCATACTCCAATCTTTTGCATGTGCAACAGCGATTATTTTTTGCAACGTACTTAGTACATAGCAGCAGATACCACGCGATTCGTTGAAATCGAATATGTGCCGCAGAGAATAACAGATAGACGATAACAGAAGACGTTTCCTTGTATCGTGCTCGCATTCTTTAAGACGTCGCGAATTTCCGTCGCGTGATTTCAATTACGCAAAGGTCAATCATCACACATAAGTATCCAATTGCGATGGAGCACATACCGGACGACGAGTCATTCACGCGGGTAAGTTTTGCGTCCGACAAAATCGATCGCTGAAAATTATGGTCACGCGCAAAAGGAACTAGCAGATGACGTTTTAAAAATACTCCAGAAAGGGGTCGTAAGTTTGGAAAGTTCTACATACGTTCTTGAATAATTTGCGGACAATCGATTCGATGCAACGCCGTATGTTGGGTCAAGCACAGTAAATCTTTACACGATAGCCATGGAAATTGTTAAGTATTTGCCGATAAAACCAAGATCTACCTTTATTATACTGGCACAAAAGTTACTGTATATTAGTATGTATTTGACAATTTTAATTGCAATTAACGCTAGCATTGCAAATCTCCACGGTTTAAAGAGATTCGTACAGTTTACATAGAGCTCGTCGGCTTTAACGACGAAGCAAAGAAATAATATTGTAATTAAGAATTGGACTGTACAAATTATAATCTCTCGGTTTTCATTGCCACTTTACCTTTTTTTTTGCGCGCAAGCTGGAATATTGCAACATATCCGGGTGCATGTTTAGATATCCTCTAGCAATTTTTTTTTTAACTGACCACGTTGTAGTTTCGTGTTGGATATCTTAAAATTATCGTATACTTCAGCGAGCGTTTAGCCATGAAGCACGAGAGAAATGTCAAGGTTGCTCTATAGTCGCTTGAAGCGCGCGGGCAAACCTTTGTCCGTCCTGGTGACGGATTCTTTATTGTAGCCAGCTCGGTAACAGCTGGAAATGCCCAGCCACGCCAGTCATGATGTTGGTGATGCGGAGTAATTTCCTCTTCGAGTCGCAAGCGAAAGAGTCTCATCCGCGAAGAATCGACTGACGAAAGGTGCGCGCGCGCGTTCTCCGAGTATATTTTCGTCCGGCAACAATAGTTCGTTGTCCTTAACGAGAATCGCGCCGAACGCTAGCGCGCCGACGTTGCCTCTCGGCCGGCTGGTTTGAAAGCGATTCCATCAATTCCAAATCACGGAGCCGGACGAAATCCGTTTTAAAAATATAGCCTTCCCGTCTTTTTCGAGGGTCGACCACTCGGAATTACTTGAAACGTTAAATCTAATTCATATTCTGACGCACGACCTCGCGGGTTTCGCAATCATTGCAAAAGACGGTCCGCCACCTCCTCGTATCCTTCCTGTGTGCTGCTTTCTTTCAAGGTGGCTCCTGCACGAAGGAGCGGTTAGTATGGGTGCTTTGGTGGGGTCCCTTTGATTTTTATAAATTCGCATGACTTTTTTCATAAAAAAAAATATCACTTATTGCATTATTGCATCAAATGCATCGATATGCTAGGTTATATATGCACATTTAAAAACATATTTAAAAATATGTGATATTGTCAAGTCTCAAAGAGCTGTCAAATTTCCTAAAAACTTTGTATCTTTTGACTTTACAAGTATTTGACAGTGGATCAGTTTAGTCGACCTTAACTGGCACTTGTTTAATAAATTAAAAGGTAAAAATATAACGTGCGACGTTTGCGACCACGGGTGTGGGTCCTTGTCAAGCACAAATTCTTAAAAATTAATCGAGTCATCGCAATATGTAATTCAACGGTACAAAATTATAACAAAGTTGAGTCGTGATTATAAAATTAACGGCACAACATAAAATATGTACAATGTCTACCATGGCCGGAGAGTGACTGGTGTCGTTAATTTTATAACCAATGACATATTCAATTACATATTGGAATGACTCGATTAATTTTTAAGAGTTTGTGCTTGATAAGGACCCAAACCCGTGGTCGAAACGTCGCACGCTATATTTTTTTATTTTTAATTTATTAAACAAGTGCCAGTTAAGGTCGACTAAACTGATCCATTGTTATTTATTACTGGCAACCTAAAGAGATTATCATGTTTAAATAAGTACTTGCTTGCAGAGGTCGGTGACCAAGTAATAGTTACATAATATCAATATTATAATTTCCCACTTAACAATGTAAATGTAATATAACACGGGTGTTATGTTAGATTTATCTTGTTGAGTAGGAAATTATAATATTGATGTTATGTAACTGTTACTTGGTGTTTACCGGAATGTTAAAAGGTACAACTTTAACATTTTTTCTTTATCTTGTTTCATCGGCGACCGGGCCTGAAATTTCGCGTGCCGATAGACAAAATTTACAACTACAACATACGTAAATATCAATTTTTTTCTACCTTTGGCCGGTTTATGCAGGAGCCACCTTTTTTAAGTTGCGAATCAATTTTACGGATTTGCCAATACATGACGCTTTAATAATCTTGTCCTTTGTCTACTGAGCCTTGCAAGATATGATGAAATGTAAAACTCAAATCGAAATGTCATATCGAAAAAGGGGTACCGTGTTATTTTTGTATACTTTTTAGAATTAAAATGAAATATATTGAAATGTATAATAGTATGTTGTAACATAATTTAAGATAGTTAAGATATTTGAACTATGTGAGGGGATGAAAAGCGGGAAGAAGCAAGTCGTGGGAACCTCGGCTAACAATAAGACAAGCGGACCAGATAATGACGCTGCCGCGATTGTTATGCTCTTGCGCATTTCTTGTAGCGCGTCACCTTCTTAATTATCACGATGGAGTTCACGTAGGTTAATGATCTTTCCCAGGTGACAAAGTGCCATTTCGGGTCATCGTCATCGTTTTTATCGCTAAGCGACGATGAGTCAGGCGGAGAAAGAACGGGAGAGCTTCGTTTCCCCGGGAAACGCGGTTGCCTTGTAACATTTATCCGCGGAGCCTTCGTATATTTAATTACGTTGCGCAAAATTTCGTACGGTGTTGTTTTGAGTGGCAACACCGAATTGCAAATGAGACCTCGAACTTAGAGAAAGAAAGTTCTCGGCAAACGTAGGAACTGTAGCGCGATACAGCATCAGATCGATGGCTCAATCTTGCGTTTTCGACTGAGCTAGTTTTATTTGTTTTCGCTCCCGAAACGAGTTTCGCGCGACGTCGCCAAGTTGATCAATCGGGACATCGCTCGATCTAACGACAACTTTCTACGACGTGCTGCAGAACGCAATGCGTGCGACCATATAAAGGAGATGCATACGCATCTTAAAAGGTGAGGCTCATCAGGCAGTCGCCGTGATGCCTACCGTAAAATTAAAATGCGGTATTCATAATACGAAATGGACAGAATGAAAGCAAGGCAAGAATGATAAGCAGAACGCATAATAGATAGATAATCGAACAAAACGCAAAGATGGCCGATACATAAATGGAGCATCTATTAGAATGTGTGTACTAGATGAAAACGTAAGATGAGACCGTAAAAGATACAAAACACGGTCAAGCAAGCGGAACGCAAAACAGACGGGGATCTCATATCCATTTCTGCCAATCTAGTTTGAGTTTAATCTCAGTTTAACATACTTTCTTGTCATTTTCTAATTTTTCGAACTGGAAGAGGGTAAAAAGTAAGTTAAATCGAGATTAAAGTCGATCTACATGAAAACATGAAACAGACGCAGACTAGACGGATTATATCGCGGCGGAACGGAAATTAATAATTCATCGAGCGATAATTTGAAATGCCGATAAGGGTGGAGAAGAAAAAGAGATCATATCGTCTGAGAGGCGTGTCTGATTTTACGATCAAACTTCCTCGTATGAGAAGCGATCGGTATCGATCAAGTCGTCGTCGTTGTCGTCGTTGTTGTTACCGTGGACAGCTCGTAAACGTTATCGATTGGTCACGTGCACCTTGCGTCACATTGGCTACGATTATGACAATGATCGCCCGTGTCGCGCAACGATGTCCGGAGCGATTATTGCCATAATTGCTCCGGACGAACGGGCGAGCGTAATTTTTGACGTTCGCGTACGCTCGAGTGCCGTAAAATCATAATTGTCGCGGAGAAAACTTTACAGCGCCGCTACGAAAACACCGACGCGCAATTGTAACGCCGCAATTATACCATGTAGGTAACAAAGTCGGTCGAGGTCGAGCGTAATGGGATTTCCCGCCGTAAATTGCACATTTCGCAGTGAATTTGAATGTGGCTTCATTGACCTCTCGTTTACTTCCCGTTAGTTCGTTTGATAAAAAAACTCTAGATTACATCTCTTACAACGTGACGTGTTTTACGACGATAAACTTTCCAGAAGGACTGTATTTTATCGTAAATTTGACGTATTTATTAACTGTAAAATTATAGAGTATGTAATAATATTGGTTTCATTTTAATATAATTCTGAATTATGAAGCGTAAAATAATATTATCGCAATAATTAACGTTCTGGCATTTATGGTTTTTAAAATCTTACTGGCAATGTCTCCGACCTTTGCCATAGCCTCTTGATGATCTCACTTACGGTTCGTACTTTTTACGTAATACATGAAGTCATATTTTACTCATCGTTGCTTATTGTGTTAACTCGGTTTAGATTTTAATCTTTTATTATATATTACGCAATGTGAGTTTTATTCCTCATATTATGTCGATTTTTATGAAGGAGACGTACAATTAGTGGAATCGAGACGTACGTACACAATGTTCCTCTTACCACCTAACGCTATAGACTATTTAACATCAACATCCTTTTGCGCTCTCATAGCCACAGACTATTTTCTATATTTAAAATAATATTATTAAATCTAATATTGAATTATAAAATATCCATGAAATACTTGTTTATACGCAACATGTTTAAACATGTAAACTGTTATGTGTCTTCAATATAATTATTTTATACCTAGAAGAGGTACGTTAAAAACAAACGCATTAATAATTATTATACTTGAACATAAACGTGCTCGCGCACAGTAATTTACGTCATTCCGCGATCTTGTATCATTAATCTGCAGACAGTTCTCAGGGATGAATAATTTACGCGGTCGCGTCGATCGTCGTCAGCGATTCCGTTCATTCATACTTTGACTATTCTCTCTCTCTCTCTCTCTCTCTTGTAAACAATAGAATCGGCCGCTCGTAAACTTCCTTCGGCGGTGAAGTCCGCCTACTTCGCGTATGCACTTGAGAGATTGATAGCGTTTCTATATCGACGAACGAATTAAAAAAAATGACTACGTCGACATAACGCGAACGGAATGAATAACTATTTACAACGCGTGCCACTTCTCGTAATGCGACATAGGCAAACTAAAACCTTTCGAAGTGGCGAGCGTAAAATTTAAGTGGGACATGTCTTCCACGCTTGCAACAACACAGCACTTGCACACGCATCAGCCATTGAGACAAACACACACACACACACACACGCATATATCGCACTCGTGACATACGGTACTCGACCGCAGTTGGCGTTAATTGTTTTTAGCATTGAATTTATGACTAGGCCATAAAAGACGACTTGATGTATTGATGATCTTGATGAACAGTGCTGCCATTTCTCCGCGATTTTTCCCGTGTTACACCAATTCACATAGAGAAAGCTTCAAAATCATTTGAATTTTCTCCTCGGACGCAAGACAAAAAAAGCATATGGCGTGAATTACCGGCCTGTTGAAAGACAGTCGAAGAAAAGCCTGTTACTGTAACCTATTTTCCATGAGAGACAAACGGCGGAAATAATATGATAATGATACCATTAGCGAGAAGAATAATTTATTATTCGGGTCTTGACATCCGACGAGGTGCTAATCGAAGCGGATATTTCATCCTTATCGCTCGTCGAAGTAGCGCATACCAGAAACCACTTTGGTACAGTTGCGAAAATCTTATCGCTGACATCGAGAAAATTCAACACGGCGATTTTACGCAATTGCACCTTGCGATCTTTCGCAATTGAACCAGTGAGGACAAAAAGGAGGCAGGTAGCATTTCGGGCCGAAATTGAGTCAACAGATCCTGGCTACACGAATTGACGCATTTCTTTAGCAAAATTTTTTTCATAAAATCTGAACGATTCATAAAAACTGAAAAATTCAGTTTGCTTTATAAAGCGGTCTCTTTGCTCTTTTCTCAGATACGATATTAGTGACATGTACCGTTTCCATTCTACACAGAGAAAGCGATTTCTTTGGATTTTATAAATTTTATTGTATCCAAACAACTTTGATATTTGGAATGGTCCAAACAAATCATTTGTTTGAATTTGAAGCAACATATATCTTTGTTTGAATTAGTACATTATGTTCAGCTATAAAGAATGGGCCATTAGATGATTAAACTGTGCCTGCTGATGCGATCGCTTATACGTCTTGCTACCGTGATTTTACTTACGAGTTCGGCGGCCATCTAGTGGCAGCACCGAACTTTATAAGCCTAATAATATAATTATTTAATTGAAAGATATTACTTTAAATAATATTATCTTTTCCATCAAATAATAAAGATTGTTTGAGTAAAACAAACAAATTTTTATTCAAACAAATAATGTTTCGTACAAGCATATGTTGCTTCAGTGAAACAAATTTCAATCAAATAAATAGGAATACTAAATCCAAAGAAATCTTTTTCTCTGTGTAACCGATTAAATTCTTTTTATATTCGTGAATCTATCTTTGCTGCACTCTGGACTTGTTTTACGTAATTCCGAGTGAAGTAAAGAGTTTCGTTTCGAATCCTCGTATTGTTTCGAGTGCTACTGTGTCATTATTATTAATCATCCGTCATTATAGTTGTTTTTACCCGTTTGTCGTAACTGTGTTACGTGTCTCTCTCGAGTCGAAAATTATCGACGTGGAGCTGTCCGCGGTTCGCGTATTTTTTCGGCCCGAGCATAAAGGCGAACGTTCCATCTCATCTTTTGTGAGATCGTTTCGGCATCGACTGACCTCGTTACCTACATTTTACCGAGGAACCGAACGAGAATGTAACAATGAGGGGAGGCGGGAGCCGAAGCAGAATAAACGGGCTCGCGAAAAAGTAAATCGGTCACATAAATAACGGCACCAACTTTCCGTAGGTGCAAACCGAAATGAGAGAACGAGAAACGTAAAAATAGCTCAACGTTTATTGATTTCGATTAAAGGTCGAACTCCTCGTTCGCATTAACACGAACAATAAGATGAAAATCATGTTGTAATTGGTAGATTCTTTAAACTTATTTAACGTGTGGTTCTGTGTAAAGAAAGGAAACCGAAATCGATAATAAAAAAAACCACGAAGTCTGACTATACTTATCAATTAAAATATTAATACGTATAAATATTATTTTTTCTTTTTTTTATACGTAACTTAATTAATGTCTGCCTCATTTGTTAATTATATCTCTAAACATCAGCAATTTCTGTAAGTGCGATGTTTAAACTGCGTTTAACTTTTTTTCAATGAGATATTTACATACTTGATTTGCATACTCTCTTTTATGAATTTTTTAATTAGTTTTACATTTAATAAAGATAAATGTGGTTTTAATCGACACTCGGTGAAGATGGATCGACACGAATGAGGTTATTTTGTTTTTTTCCCCATTCTTAAATAAGAACTACATAGGGCTTTCACGAAAAGTATGCCTCCTCTTCGGTAAGGGAAAACATTAAAAGAGAGAGGAATGCGAGGGAAGAGGAGAAGAGCGAGAGTTCACAATGCTGAAAAGTATCGGCTCTGTCCCTCTTTTCTCCTGGTAGCGGCCCATCGTGACAAGCAAACTGCTAGTTTATGGTGGGCCTCAATGTCTCCGATTATTCGTTTAACGGGACTCGCACGTCCACGATGGTCGGAGAATGATTTCTCCAGAAGGCGGTTGGGTTGAAGATTCGGCTCGTCGCGCTCAGTCTTCTTCTAGGCGAGCGCGCGCATGGACTGCTCCGATTCTGCGACACACGGCGACAAGGGGGAATAATATCGTCGAGTCTAACAAAAACGCGAACGTCATCGAACGAGTCGTGTGAAGAGTGAATTGCGATTTTTTTTTCAAACCACGATCCCCTCCAACGTCGACGAGAATATAGCCTGAATCGATCGGCTCTGACACAATCCAATTTGATGCGACTCGGCTCGGGTGGGCCTCTTGGACGCGACGATAATACAATTATTTGACTGTCAAACGTAACGCATCGTTAACGCCCCGTCAACATTGTCATAACGCCATTTAACACTTGGCTCGCGATCCTCGAAATCTCGCACACTTTGTGAGGAAACCCGTTTTCGCGCGTGCCTGCGAAGGACGAGCTGGAACTTTTGTCATCCCACATTGCGCATTTTCGCGGATTTGCAAGAGGCTCTTTTGTCAACGACACAAGGATCCAGTCTCCTCAGTTCGAACGAAACGTGCACCATAGCCACATGGTGTTCGCATCGATAGTGACCGTCGACGAGTGATTGGGGTGTTAGCTTCAGACGACGTCGGCACGTCCGACAAACCACGAGTCTGTCTCACGCGGAATCGAAATCGAAGTGAAATTCTCTTTAAATCGAATTCGGCGCAAGACTCGTGCTCGCCCATGGAAATCGAAAAGTTCGAGTATCCCAAGTAAAGTAATTAAAACCGAGGGCGTTTAGTGAAGAAGATTTACGAGAGAAGCAACGGAGTTGTGAAAGACTGAGAAAAATTGTATCCAAGGAAAAAGAGATTTTAAGAGCGTGAGACGACGCGGGACGGAGAGGCGCGCGGACGGCTTTTTTGGAATTTAAATATTTATGGTTTAGAGAATTTCCGGCCTTAGGCGTATAGGCGTGTGCCGATAATTTTCTTAGACTGTAAACCAGTCGGGTTTGAAATATCTGTGTGCACACATCGCACGGCACACATCCGTGCTGTTCACGCACGTGCTAGCTCATTAAAGCGGTTCAACACGGGTTCCGTACTGTCGAACGTAAGTCGACGCGCGAGAACTTTAGAACTTGTACCGTTTCTCGTGAATATCTAATGCAATCGCGACGATTGTCTTGCGATAGCCCATAAGAGCTAAGCACACCGAGTAAAGATTTCTTTTCTCAAAAGGTGTTCCTGGAGGCAAGGGGCAAGGATGAGATAGGACAACTAGTCGGTGCCAAAACCCATGGCGCAACACCCTTGGTCATGGCATGTCGGAACGGGCATTACGACGTGGCCGAGTACCTCATCGAAAAATGTGGGGCGGACGTGGAGCAGCCCGGATCAGGTCAGACTGCAGTTCTTTCATCGCCGGCCTTTATTCGAGCCGACCATCCGTGTTTTGTCGAGAACAGCCTTCACCCAAAAATGATGTTTTGGCAAAGACACGCGCGCTTTAGCTGTTCTCCTTTGCTTTTTTATTTTTAGTCAGTTTTAAAATTTCTCGAGATCTTTCTCTCGATTGTGGCTTAAAAATTACGGCCACTATAATAAACGTACGCTATAGATTGGCGCAATTAACTCACATGATTTTATTTACGTTATATTCTCTCTAAAAGTCAATCAGTAGACTATTCACTGTTTTAAGTAATAATCCACCGATTGATTTTTAGAGAGTTAGTATTGTTTTGTGTAAGTTGAAACTAGTAAATCCGCCTTGGTACTAAGATTTCACCGGAATTGTTCTTCGAAAACAGTGGTCTTTGAGGGCGAGACGATCGAGGGTGCACCACCCCTGTGGTGCGCGGCGGCCGCTGGCCACTTGGCCCTAGTCAAGTTACTGGTGAGACGAGGAGCCAAGGTTAACTCAATCACGAAAACGAATTCCACGCCACTTCGAGCCGCGTGCTTCGATGGGCATTACGATATTGTTAAATTTCTAGTGCAACACGGCGCAGGTAAGACGTAAACGTAAATTCGAGAATTATCTTTAGAGATATAAATTTGTAAATTATTTTTAAGTACAATATTTTCCCTTACGGAAGAGCGAGTTTCGCGGCTTTGTGAAAAATACGTACATTTTATATTTACAAATTAGTTTTTCGCGTTCAGATCGTCGCTAAAGCCTTGTGTCCACGATCCAAGAACTGTGTCCAGTTTCCAGAAATGTGTAACGAATCAACTTGCAGCTTCAGTAAAAGCTGCAAGTTGATTGGCTACACATTTCTCGTAACTAGAACTTTTAGATCATTAAAAAATTTCCTAGATTGTATGAAGTTCTAAGATAAAAGGCACACGGATTTCAGTCACGGATCTGACGGTCTGTCCGCGCGGCTAGAGGACTATAAAACGACTGCAAAATTTATGCATTTAAAAGAAACTACGCTTATTAATCGCGGTTTGACTTTTCTGGTTTACAAAAGAAAAACCAAACAAACTCGATCGAAATCTCTATCTAGTGTCTTTTTCTTTGTTACAGACATCGAGATGGCAAACCGACACGGACACACTTGCTTGATGATCGCGTGCTACCGGGGCCATGTTAAAATCGCCAAGTTCCTACTCGCCCTGAAAGCGGACGCGAATCGCAAGTCCGTGAAGGGTAACACGGCGTTGCATGACTGCGCCGAGAGCGGATCCTTGGAGATACTGAAGATACTCGTTGAGCATGGTGCCCAGATGGACGTAGACTCTTACGGGATGACGCCACTCCTCGCGGCAGCAGTAACAGGTTAAAGCAGAAAGTTCCACGCACCACTCGAAGGTTCCCCTAAGACAGTTTACTTAGCTCGTCCGAAGCGATCTGTTCCGCGACGCTTAGACGGCCGAGGAAAAAGCGAGCGCTGACCGAACGTTTCTTCGCTTCCTCTCTTCCAGGTCACACGCATATCGTCGAGTATCTCATAGGCATTCCGCAACTGTTCAGCAGGAAAGAGCGTATCGACGCGCTGGAGTTACTCGGAGCTACGTACGTGGACAAAAAGAGGGACATGATTGGCGCCCTGCAGTTCTGGAAGCGTGCCATGAACGAGCGGTACGTCCTCACGCGCGGACAGACTGTCAATCCGTGTGCTTTTTATCTTAGAACTGCATGCAGTCTTGTGTAGGAAGTTTTCAAATAGAACGCAAAAAAAAACAACTTTGTAAACAATAAAATTTATAAGGCTCTGACGTGAAGTCACAATTCGAAGGAATAAAGGATACAAGAGCCAAAACAGGATGTTAGTGTTTAAATAATTTTAATTTTTTAATTTATTCCGAAAAATTTACCTCAGCCAGGGTTTGAACCTGGACCTCCCTCTCACTAGGCGGGAGAATAAATAAATTATAAATAAATTAAAAAATTAAAATCATTTAAATACCGACATCCTGTCTTGGCGCAAATTTCTAAATACAAAATGTACGTATTTTTCACAAACTCTTTAAAACGAATACAATGTCGATTCTTGTTCTACAAAGAAGAGTAAAATTTATACTCTTCGGCGACATTTATACGTATACATTCTCTCCGTCAGATATCGAGGAGACGGACCGATGATATCGAAACCCGAATCGCCGCCACTTGTAGCCGCTTACGACTTCGCCCGGGAGGTAATCGAGCCCGAAGCTTTGGACGATCTGTTAGCAGACCCGGACGAAATGCGCATGCAGGCACTGGTGATCAGAGAACGAATATTAGGACCGGCTCATCCAGATACTAGTTATTACATTAGATACCGTGGAGCTGTCTACGCGGACGCGGGGAAATTCCGTCGCTGCATCGAACTGTGGAACTACGCTCTCGACATGCAGCAGAGCATGCTGGAACCGCTAAACCCTATGACGCAAAGCTCTCTATTCAGCTTCACCGAACTTTTTAGCTTCATGGTGGGCGAGGAAGGTAGACAGACGACTAGGGGTCGCAGAGTGCCGCCAGTAAAGAGGGACGATCTGTTGAGAGTTTTCGAAAAAGCTGTGAGTGCGAGGGCGTTATTGTTTACCGATACTTGCAGTCTATTAATATTTATTTGCATCGCAAAAATTGCTTGCAGGTTAACGAAGTAGCGAAGGGAAAGCAAATGTTGGATAAGATGGGCGATCTGGCGTGCGAGCGCGATTTGACGTTCTTGAACAGAGTCCTCGTCATCACTCTGCATCTGGCGTGCTTATTAACGCGCGAGACTGGCGAAAAGGGTAGCGAAGAATACAACGCTTTACACAAAGAGCTCTACAAATTAGTCCGAATAAATGCAAAAGGCAGACAGGTGAGTGGCGCACAGTCGCGCCAATTATCCAATAATAATTGGAGGGACAAAGACGATCGTCCACACTTCCGATTCTGTGATGTATTTTCAGGGCCGCGATGCGTTGCAATTGGTTCACAGTGAGGACGGTGCGCTGGTTGGTAGGTACCCTACGTGCAAGTTCCCATCGGCTCACTTGACCAAGGCTCTGCTGAGAGTGGGCGCGGACGTGGCTGCCAGGGACAACGACGGTAACACGGCTTTGCATCTTACCGCGTTATTGCACCCCTGGCGCCCGATCCTGTCGGTCGATCTGCTCGACGCCGGCGCGCACCTCGACGCGGTGAATAACGACGGCAAGACGTTCCAGACGCTGTTGAGCAATAAGCAGCTCTACGATTCAATTTGCCCACTGAAATACACCACGCTCGCCTGCCTGGCCGCGCGAGTGGTCCGAAAGACGCAGAAAATCAGCAGAGTGCCCGCGCACCTCCGCGCTTTCGTCCAGATGCACTAGTATTGTCGCCGATGAAACGCCGCCAGTTAAATGCCGTGGCAAACACCTTACTTTAAGCGAGAAAGTGTGACGACTATGGAAAGCAATGGTGATAATTCGGGCGTTAACCCGATTCGTAATTTATCCATTCTATCATCGATATTCACATCTTGTATAGGGTTTCGAGGTCGCTCTCGTTTCTAAATCATTTTTTTCAATGAATGATAATTTTGAGATACACTGTATATAATCCTATACTAAAGCAGAGATAGAAATATTGTCCCCGGGAAGCACAAGTCTTCTGACTGATGATATAATGCGAAACGCACGTGATTCCAAGAAGATCTTTTAACAGTTTTTCTCATAATACAAAATGTGTTTTCCATTATTGGAGCTTTGTAAGAAATTTTATTTTAGTTAACAAGTTTCCTCTTATGTTTCGTGCGTAATATATTGAATCTGATCTGAAAAGCATCAAATATATGCGTCTTTCAAGACTGCAGGAATTATATTTCGCTATTAAAAGTTTTATATTTAATAAACAAGAGTAGTGTACATTTTACTTATACATATACATAATATATATTTTTTCTAATACGATTGTGGTAATTCATAAAATATCTATTTTCATAAAGTGTTAAAAAGAAATTGAAAAATTTAATACCGAGAACGTGACTCTGCTTTGCGGTTACTTGATTTAAAACATTTATACTTTATCATACAGTTTATTACAATTATATGACTAAAAAATTGATCGTATGTGGCGACGTTTCAATCGACGTAAAATTGATCATAACCATTCTTAATTTCTTACTTGCCATTGTTTTCGTTTAAATTGAGATTAGTAAATTGGCGATGTATCTTGGCAGATCTCTTTGGTATCAATGTGCGATGATACGAAAGAGAGGCTTTGATCTTGACGAATGAACTAGTATCCATCGGTATTGCGACAAGGTGATAACACAGACATTGTGATCTTTGCTGATTAACTGCAAACTTGGCTAATTAAAGGCCTCTCCCTTATACATAAACCCCGCGCAAGCCATATATATATATATACTACGTTGATAATGCTAGATAACATAAATGTACGTTGACTTCAAATGTGTTATCTTAGAGAAGTGACTTTTTACCTTGCTGTATAAACAAATAAAGAGGAAAAAAAACATGGATTTGTAATAGAAGTTTTCTGAGTGGTGTGGTCCACTGCGAGTGGTGAACTTTGCGGTTCTACACTTTACCATTTCGTAACATTTGCGCATAAAAAGTTACATATAAGGCACCGGGCACGTGTTTCTTATATATTAACCAGCAAAATGTGAAACGCGTAATGTTGTAGAATCATTCTACTAGAATGTTACGTTTGACTCTTGTGTCACCACATCTCGAGTACACCATTACGAGCTGCTTTAGATTTTGCCGATCATCGACAGCCCACTGCGGACAATAGCGGGTCGGAATTGATTATTCATTCGCATAAGTGAGAGAAATTCTACGCCTTCATATACCTTTATTTAAAATGTGATAATCCATGTACACACATAGGCTGTAGGGAAAGAGAGAGAGAAACGCGTCGCTACATAATAAGTATATACACAATACATATAAACGGGCGTGTGATGTTTAAGGTGCCTTTTTCTTTTGAGCGGTGTTGAACGGTGCACTCTTCGCGCGCTAAACGTGAGACACGATTGCCGGCAGTGCTGTTTGTACCATTAAGACTAATTTACACGAATTACGTACCCGTATTTACCGTATTGCGCAATTTTATATACGTTTTACATGTTCCGTTCGAGTCCCGTTACTGGCGCATTTACGCGCGTCCGAGCTGTGCGCACACCATTGTCACGCTAACGCCAGGACGTCGCGTTACGATTCTCTACAAAGGAGTAGCAGTCCTTACACTTACTTCCCCCCCCCCTCAACCCCCACGTACCGAAAGCTATTTTATAATGTATAGATAAAACGAGAAGAGAGAAATACAGTGTAATTGAAAGTACGGATTCGTACGATTCGCTCTTTTTTATTACGCGCGACTCACCAGCTCACAAGGCTCGACGGTCGCTCGCGATAGCTTCCCTGGAAGAAGAACATTTGCGTAAGGTGACTTGTTCGTCAATTGTTAGAACTTACCTGGTCATCGTCACGTTATTGGGACGGACGTTTCTCGATCGTGACCTGGAAATAATCAATAATATCCACATTGTATCTATGCCCCAGTGTAATAAAAAAAAAGATATTATGCGATAATCTATATATGCATCATCTCATTCTAGCTCGCGAGAAGGGGAAAAACGCCTTCCCGGCGTCGCGCAACGATTAACATTAAACGAGATTAAACGGTCGCACCGCACCGAATTGCATGAATGTAGCACAAGCGTCGGCGAAAAAGAGTAAAAAAACACTTCTCTCGGCCCCCTAAACTCGACGGAGCTGTTAAATGCGACAAGGACACGAGCGCCGATTCTCGAAGGAATAAATATAAAAATGAACACTGACGATATACAAACTCTCTTTGAGTTCTGACTAGCGTTTATGTCGATAACACAAAAAAAAAAACCGGACAGGTGCCACATCTCTCCTCGGCACGTGGAAATTTAGACGGACGCTGGAAACGAAAGGAGAATCGGTCGTCAAGAATGCGCCAACGTGCGCGCACTTTTCGTCGCCGTTCGCAGGTGGAGTGCGCCGACGAACACTTTATCGTTGAACAAGAAAAGAAAAAGAAAAAAAAATTACTTTAATAAAACTCTGGGGGGGAAAAAAAGCCGCTGGATACCTCGCGAACGATACAGATCGACGGAGATTGCACACGAGACTATCGTGAGTACTTCGGAATGGACACAGAGTCCTCGCCGTCCGTCTCTCATTCACAGTTCTACAAGGATCGAGCACACCACGTTAAAAGACGACGAGAGTCAACCATTCCTTTCTTGGTCACCCATAAAAGATCCATCGATGCATCTCAATCTCATCGACAGGTATCGTTTAAAGCTACTGGAGATGAAGAATACAATTCGTGAATACAAGACACCACGCACAGACGGACCCGTCGCATTTACAATTCTCGCTGTTAACAGAACGAGCGGTCGCGCTAATCGGGGCCAGATCGATCGTCTCTCTCTTCCCGGGACCGCCTTCGGGAAATCGGGGAAGAGAATCATCTGAAAAAGTAATCTCACCTGCGAGGGCGAACGAGCACCTTCCTCCCCGTTGCGCAGACTATCGACGCCTCCCAATTGTACGGAAGATAATCGGAGGAGTGATCTGTATTTTGAGACTGTATCAATAAACCAATGGACTCGCATCCGCCTTTGAATGCAACGTGTTTGCAGGACAGTCGTGATCAGTCCGTACCGTTAAACACGTTGCACCGCATGCTAAAATAAAACTCACTTGACGAGATCCGTCCGAAACGACAAGAAGTGGCCGCTTAAAATAAAAGATAAAAATTTCACACAACACCACAGAAATAAAACAACGACCAAGTATAGTTTTTTTTTGTAGTGAAAACTGATTTGGATTTTATTCAATTTACTATTATGAGATTGGTGGTTATACAAGAGTGTTATACAATGCACAGAATGTTCCTCGAGATCTACATGGCGAGAGGAGAGTTATGTTTACCAAAAAATAATGTCACGGAAACACCAAATGCAATTCGAATTCCGAATTGTATCGAGATCAATCCGAATCTTTTTTTCCCCCGCGTACGTTGCTGTCGGGGAACAGAAAAGATTGATTGAAAGAGAGAGAAAGAGAGAGAGAGAGAAAGAGAGAAAAAGAGAGAGAGAGGAGAGGAGACGTGATATCCGATGCCACGATTTACTTTTTGGTAAACATACTACGGTGCATAAAACGCAGAATTTAGCCGAATCTAAATCGTCCGATGTACGTTCGCCGAAGTCTCGGAGCGAGCTCGAGTGAACTGAGAGGGGATCTTCCTAGAAAAAAAAAACAGAAAAAGAAAAAGCGACTACAGCAAATTTTCTCGTATGCTTCGTTTAGGTCATTAAATTTTTGTATTTTTTACAAAGATGCAAACACAGTGCGTACGTAATACGGTAAAAAAGCAAAATAGAAATAATGCTAAACGATGCGTGACCGCGTAAAAGTCGTGGCGACGAAGCGCTGTCCCCTGTCAAACACCACACATGCTTTTTCTTTTCTTACGCGCAAGAAAGTGCGAACGATGCAACGAGAATCCAACACATACAGTCCACGATCTGCATAAAAATAAGATTGTAAACCTCGATAAGACGCAGGCCGGAAATCCAATTCGAGCGAATAACGATTTTACAACGTTAAAAGTTTTCATGAACGAAAGATTAATCTCTATCCCTCGGTGGACTCTCGGCTGCGAATGAGCAGAGTTAAGATCGGAATGATGGAGAACCGATCGATCTCTCGTCATGATAACTAAGAAGTAAAGACTTACAGACTACAGAATCGCTAATTAATGTAAATAACCAGTAAATAGTGAATAAACCTATACACTGAAAAAGAAACCTACTGGCTTACAGTAAGATCTTCGTGAAACCTAAGCCTAGGCAACTAAACTATAGTCTCGATCGCTAGAAAAAAAGGACTGATTTTAAGAAGTGAACAATTAGTAGACTTCCACTGTAAAAAGGAACGATAATCTGGTGGTAAACAATACAGAATTGAAAAAGGAGGATAAAGAGAAAGAGAAAGAGGGCGTGTGGAGAGCGATCGTCAGTAGCTGACACGACCGTTTCAACGTTGAGTAGCCATCATACAAACACGACTTGCTGATCTTCCGAAGAGACACTTCTCACTCACTGTCCTAAGTTCTGCCAGACAACTAGGATGAATTTCGAGTACCATCAGGAGTGGAATCCTGCAGACGACACATAAACACCACCCAGCTTCCTCACGCTGCGTCAATAAGTTATGGTTAAGCATCGAGGAGTTACGGCGATATAATATTTTCTATTAACGTTACCTCGAGTCCCTCGAGACCTTCGAACTCTTAGTACAGACGCACATCAATTGTCCTTCCGTCGATGCGTGATCGATTCATCATGGCTAATGGCGGGTAATTAAGGAAAAATTCGTTCGTGCAAAATTTTCTTCTTCTACAATTATGTATAGAGCACAACAAAATTAAGCGTATAAGCGATCCTTTTAATGGACCGGCCCTTCTTGTCCTTTACCATCTTGTAATTAATCTTTTCTTTTACTACGTATCTTTATCATCTTGTAGTTAAACACTCAAAGAAATAAAAGAAGAGGAAATGGTCAGCTTTTCAACCTCGCGCATTTTATAACGAACATGTCCGTTTCGCTTGGGAAAGGATACTCACAGCACGATCGGCATCCCATTCAGATGCGAACCGTACCATGCCCATATCGGTACCTCTCATCTCCGCGAATTTTACCTCCCCGGCGTCCTGGAACTTGTCACGCAGCATCTGCCATGTGGTATTTGGAGGTAGCTGTAACAAGAATTGTATCCAGCTATTATAAATCCACATTAGACAAAATGGAAGAAATATAACAGGAGCGGAAGTTGCACATACGTTGCCTATAAGTATAGTATCTGACATCTGTCTTGAACCGTTGGAGTTCTGTCGGTTGCCGCCGCTTTGGCCTTGGTTCCCAGAGAATCCACCGCCGCCGCCACCAGAAACACGATCGCCGTCCCCTCTGTTAAATCCTCCGTCAAAATCTCTACCGCCACCACCAAAGCTGGAACCGCCGAAGGCGTTGCTACCACCAAATCCTATGTCATTGTCTAATTTGGATAACCCGCGTGGCGTGAACGTATTGTTCCCTTGTCCACCGGCCAGAGAAGCCTGCAAACCGCTTAAACTACCGACGCCGCCGCCAAAGTTATTCAAGTTCGATGCCAATTCACTCGTCAATGATGAATTCAGCAGCGAACTAGTGGTGAGATTGGCACCTAGACCGGCGCCGGCGAGGCTAGCTTGAAGCGCTGCTGCATTTGTGTTTGACAATGCCGACGCTGCGAACAGATAGGATCTCATTTATTTTGACGATTCTCGTTTATTCGCGAGAACAGGCGCGCACAATTCTCACCTAGCTGCGCGGGCACAACGTTGTTTAGACCGGCACCGAAAGCGCCCGCCGCTAAGACAGGCGCCGAGATCGGGTTCACCACTGGCGGATTGTTCGCTTGCACATTGGGGATATTTCTGGCAACGTCCAACAGTCTGTTACCACCAGCTCCAAGACCCATGCCGATACCCTTCAAACCTGGTTTTCCAAAGTACATTCATTTATAGGAGTACTGAGCTGACCGATGAATATGCAAATATATACCTTCTGGTAATTTAGGCGGCATGTCGGGTTCATTAGCTCTATCGAGTCTGACGGTCATGCGTCTGTCATACAATTGTTGATTATGAAGCATCGAGATGGCCTGCACCGATTCCACCGGGTGGTCGTATTCAACAACGCCGAAACCTCTTGATTTGCCATCTTTATCTTTCCCCAGCTCAACGTGCAACACCTTCCCGGCCAATTTGAAAACCTCCAGAAGCTTTTTCTCGTCCACTTTATAATCCAGCTGAACAAACGAACAGAACGTATATACTTTCTCGACGCGACAAGTGCCGCTTCTTCAATGTATACTCGCGTGATACTGACATTTGCGACGAAGACCCTCGTGACCAAAGGACCATTGATACCTAAAGATTCTAAGAACTGCGTACTAAGACCGTACGTGTTTCCAAATTTATTGTCACCTCCGCCGCCGCCGCCGCCGCTACCGCCGCCGCCACCGCCGCCACCTCCGCCACCGCCACCGCCGCCACCCGCGCCGGTAGGAGCGGACATATTTTGCCGCCCGCCTCCCTGCGGTCGCGGAGGATCCCTAAATCTGTCGTCCCGGTTTCTGTCGTTGTTACGACCCGTCGTTAAGCGACCATACTTGTCTCGCTCCACGTCAAAATCCTGCAAAAGGTATCAACGTTGATCAAACTTGCGTCACAAATAACAACGAATCGTTCGCTGAATCAAACAAGTCTTATTAAAACTACTTGAAGCGCCGCGAGCGAAGGACTTCCGCACTCACTTCCTTGACAACGAGCTTCCGCCCCTTGATGTCGTATCGGTGCATCTTCTCCACCGCTATCTTCACAGAGTCCGAATCCTCGAACTCCACTATTCCGCATCCCCGAGGCTTGTCGTTCTCGTCCGTGAAGAGCTCCACGTGCGCCACTTTGCCGACCTCGGTCCTGAACAGATCCTTGAGATCTTGCCAGCGAAAGTCATAAGGAATGTTTGACACGTAAATCCGCCGGTCGGACGCCTTCCTGCCAACGCGGTCGTTTCTCTCGCGGCTGCGGTCGCGGCTAGCCGAGTTTATGCGATTCGGTCTGTCCGACCTTCGATTACGATCGCGCTCCCTGCTTCTGTCTCTGTCGTCATTGTTCTGTACCTGATTGCTGCAATCACACAAAGTGATATAATGTATGCTACACGCAGAGCCGTCTTTATAAGATATATAGCACTGTAGAGCAAGTGAGAAAGAGCGAGGAGTGAAAAGAAGAAAGTTAAAGAATTGAAGAGCTATAGAGCTACAGTGTTAAAAGGCCAACGAGCTGAAGAGCTACAGAATTATAGAGCTACGTAAATATCACACGTGTTAAAGTAAGGGAGAAGGTAAATGGGTCTATTCTGTAAAAATGCTCCATAACACCGTATCTCCATGATTTACGTAGGCACTGTAGAGCAAGTGAGGGAGCGCAAAGAGCAAAAAGGAGAGAGTTAAATTAAAAAGCTGTAGATTTGAAGAGTTAAAGAGCTATAGAGCTGCGACGTTAAAAGGCCAAAGAGCTACAGAATTGCAGAACTTGCAGCGAAAATCTTACAGAATAGAGCCACGTAAATATCAAGGCTGGTTTACGCAAGGACGTAACTATTAAATTATGCCGGAATCGGTAAAAATTGTTAAATCGTCAAAAGTTAAGAGAATAGTTGACTGTAAGTGGTTAATTTTTACCGACTCCAGCACAAGTTAACGGTTACGGCCTTGCGTAAACCAGCCTTCACACGCGTTAACGTAAAGTATAAGATAACTGGATTTATTTCGTAAAAATGCTTCGTAACGCCGTATCTCTACGATTTGCGTAGCGCTGTGGAGCAAGTGAAAGCGAAAGAGAGAGAGAGCGAGAGAGACAAGAAAGGCGCAAGAGCGAAAAGGAGGCGGAGCTAAGCTCGTATCGCGAAGATCTCGCGGAGTAGACCCGCGTAGCTATGCAAACGTACGAGAAAAAGTACGAAAGGTGACATGAATGAAAGGTTAAGACCGAGGCAGATATGCACGGCACATTTGCAGCGATACGTCCGCGCGCTTGCAACGCTGTAAAGTACCGGGGCATAGGATCCACCGAGCCGCGTCCTTTCTCACACCGTTACGGCCGCCGCGAGATACGTCGTTGCCGGGATACAGCGTGTCTTACGTCGCGCTAAGCTAGTCCGACGACTATCGCGGCGGCCGAACGGTCGGCGCGGAGCCGCGTTACGCGATTGACCGCCGCAACAGGCGCGTGACACCGTACTTACTCCTCCGTCTTTATCATCGTCGGAAGCCGGGCTCTCGCTAAACTCCGAATACGCAATCCTACGAACTACCCGTTAAAAGGTACATCGAGTGTGCACCGAGCGTCGTATAAAATGGCCGTCGCCGAAAGTGCGAGCGGCCACCGGAACTTACTACGCTCGTCGACGTCCGCGGAGCGCGTGTGCGTTTTCCGCAGAGGGGGGGAAAAAAGGAAAAAAAAAGAGAAGAAGAGCCGCGTAAACGACTCCGCCGTAGTTTCTAAAAGCGTAATTCGAGTTATTGCGAGGAAAACAACGCGGATTGACACGTAAAATATGCGCCCGTGACTAAAAGAAGCGTATGAGATCCTTCTCTCGATAAGTTTTGGAACGCAGTAATGCTGAAGAAAAAAGAAGAAATACTAACGAGTCAATTGTTTCAGGGACCTGCGCAATGAGCGGTACTACGAAATAGAAAGAGATAAGAAGTTAAAAGCGGGGAGCACACGCTTTTGCATAAGTGCATAAACATATGCATAACGAATTTGATTGGTCCATTTCCTTGTGCATTTGCTCATAGACCAATCAAATTCGTTACACATACGCTTGTGCACTTATACAAAAGTGTGTGCTCCCCGCTAAAGCCTATCACACAAACATATGCATAATGAATCTGATTGGTCCATTTCCTTCTGTATTTGCTTATAGACCAATAAAATTCGTTGAGCATAGCAAAAGTGTGTGCTCCCCGCTTTACATACAGGTTCGGAAACTCGGGCCAAATTTTGGTGGTGGGGGTAGGTCGAATTTTTAAGCCAATAATCGTTTGTCTCGTGGTCAAGAGACAAACGATTATTGGCTTAAAAATTCGACCTACCCCCACCATATGACTTTCCGGACCTGTATGTAAAGGCCAATGTCCACGATGCTAGAACTTGGACACAGTTCTTGGATCGTGGACACAAGGCTTTAAGCCCGTATCAGACTACGGATTGGGATTGGGATTAGATTGAAATTTAACCAATCACAGTAAAGTGTACTAATCTCAAGTTCAGTAACTTTTACTCTGGTTGGTCAAATTTCAATCTAATCCCAATCCCAATCCATAGTCTGATACGGGCTTTAGACCGTGCCCTAACTTGCTCCAACGACCAATACCGTCACCTCAGTCGTAAAGAAAATGACGGTATTGGTCGTTGGGGCAAGGTAGGGGAGCATGTGGGGCATTCGACGCGAACGGACCTCTTATAAATGAACGATCTTCGGCCAATTGGGACGCGTCGTTGCGCCGCGAGGCGGCGCGAGCGGCGGCGCCGCGCGGCTGCAGGCCGCGAGAGCAGCACGAACATCCGTGCAGTCGATGTTGTGAACCCCTATTACGATTCCGTGGCGCGCCGGCGCAACACAAACCTTCTGGTTAGAGTATCCATTTTGATCACATGTGAGTATCCCGAGCTGCTCTCGCTTTCGGCTTTAACTAATGGTGCTAATTGCCCGAACGAGCGGCGGAACGTTGACAATACACGGGTAAATGTCGGGCCGGCTCGCGTCCGCGCGGCGGCGGCGACGCGGCGCGACGTGACGCCACGCGGACGCGACGGCAACGCGGTCTTCCGCGCTGGCAATGTGGCCCGCTCTCGCCCGTACGGTTCCGTGCCTCGCTTCGGCTTCCTACCGCTTGAAATACGCCGTGCGCGCCTAGCCCGCCGGCGTCTCGGGGCGCGTCGCGTACGCGCGCCACGAACGCGATCCGCGCGGATCGACCCAGCGCCGCGGGGCGCCCGCGGTCCCCCCGTGCTCGGGCCGCGCGAGAGATCTTTGGTTAGTCGCGCCTCCCCGTCCGCCTCCGACACCTCTTGTTCGCACGCGAACTCCCTGCGCGACGACGCGCCACGTGGTCACCCTGCTCATCCGGGTGTAACCACGTTGCCGGAAAGCGCTCCCGGGTCCTGGTGACTCGCGTGTTGCCGATAGAAATCACGAGCCGAACGACGTCGGTCTACGTAGAAACGTGCGGATAATTCCGTAAAGGCGAGAATGTTGTCGAATCCGTAATTTCTATTCAGTCGGTCTTTGTTTCTCGTGCCGATGACGACGCCGATATTTCATTTCTCACGTTCGTCAGCTAAGCGGATGCAGTTTCAGAATTTTTTCAGTAGAATTCGGCGCTCCAAGTAGCTTCGTCAGTGCACGATTAAAGTAGGGGTGCGTTGTGTTTCGCGCATGATACATCAGTTCTTTAATCTTCTTTAACCTTCTTTAACATTTGAATAAATGGTGCATCATGGGCGAAACTGAGCGCATTCTTAGTAGGGTATCAATGGGCAAAGAGATCTAGCCTGTCTCTGCACCATTAGTGTCAGGTTTAGAGCGTTTTTCTCCAGGAGAGGTTGATCTACGAAACAATTGACTAGTTGAGTCATTGATTTAACCGCCTTTTAATACCAATTTGTGCCCCGCGCAGATATCCATCAAACAACAATGGCAGATATCGAGGATACTCACTTTGAGACTGGAGATTCAGGCGCCTCCGTGACATACCCTATGCAGTGCTCGGCACTGCGCAAAAATGGCTTCGTCATGTTGAAATCTCGCCCGTGCAAGATTGTAGAAATGTCGACTTCTAAGACTGGCAAACATGGTCATGCCAAGGTTCACTTAGTAGGTATCGACATATTCACCTCCAAGAAATATGAGGATATCTGCCCCTCCACACATAACATGGATGTGCCGTTTGTTAAGCGGGAAGATTACCAGGTAAGGGCGCGTCTTCTCACTTTCCTGCACATTAGCGGACTAAATGTAGCGTTGTCCTTCCACACTTTTAATCTATTTATTCGTCGGACTACTGACAATATTTCTATCATTGCACCTTATTGTTGCTTGCATTTTGTGCCGAGTACTAATGATTCAAACTTTGTTGTTAATGCAAGGAGGGATGGGTCGAACAAAGTCCATTTTAAAACTTCGAGTCACCCGCGACACGTAAAGAATGCGTTTTCGCAAGATATGAAAAGCATTGCAATTGTTTCGCGACAGCTTACAGATATATCTGACGACGGCTATCTCTGTCTGATGGCTGATAACGGAGAACTGCGCGAAGATCTCAAGATACCTGATGGTGATTTGGGAACACAGCTACGTGCTGATTTCGATTCTGGAAAAGAGTTACTTGTAAGTATGCCTTTGTGCGCACAAGGAACTGTACTTGTTAACGTTCCTGCATGTTGTATTCAAATTGTAATATTGTTTAGAATGCAATTGTGAATACCGTCAAACTGTGCGTATGTGAGACACATGTGCGGGCAGTTTGTCTTGCATAGTTTACAATTTTATTTACATGATGTATGAATTCGCAATTTGTCGAGGAACAGGTCAAATGAAATAGAAACTCACACGATTCGCTTAATGTGATTTCTCTACTTCTAACATATAATTTATGATAGTGAAGAACGTAAAAGTTTCTGATTTTCTTCATTAATTTATATTATTTTTCGTTACAAGTACCAATGATTCATTAACTCGTGCGGTTTGACTGTAGTTTTCAAAAACTTTGGAGCACAGTAGCACTTGCATCATTTGTTACTGCTAATTTTTTGTAGGCAGTTTTAGAAATTGTTCTGAAAGTTAAAACTATAATGGTGCAGCCAATTGCCCGTGGCATTGTCGGATTTCAAAATATTTTCCTAATTTTCTTCATTTTCATCGTATTACACACAAAGATTACTATTACGTACGTATATACGTACAGTTGTATTTAAAAAGTTAATATTTACCTGTAATGTTCCTTCAATAGTAGCGCGTCGTTTTTAAGTAAGAGTCACTCACCGAGAATTTCATACTAGAATAATATATACTGTATAAATCTATTTTGTACTTTTTAGTGCACTGTACTCAAGGCATGCGGTGAGGAGGTAGTAATTGCCGTCAAAAATAACACCTCCCTCGACAAATAATTGTGTTCAGCCGGACGACTACGACGACAGAAGCCCAACACACATTCGAGCAAAAACCACCCGCTTAGCCAATCAATCAACACCTTTACTATTGGTCAAACAGGATAAACAACATTAATATAACCAAAAAAAATCTAGAGGAAGATGATGAAGAGAGTGGAAGCACGAAAGAGAGAGAGAGAGAAAAGAGTGTCTGAGAGAGTGAGAAAGAGAATAGAAATTGAGGGGGAGAAAGGGGAGAAAGCAAAACGGGCTAGCAGTTCCACGTAACAACAGCAACGCGCCAATGCGAGAAACGACTTTTATCGAAATGATATCCGCTTTACTTAATTATTTTATTCAACAATATTCAACTAAAATCCGAAAAAGCAAAAACTAGGTATACGTACAATTATGTACACTTGGACACGTATACATACAGATAAACAGGCAGATACAGATACATATATACCTAGATACACGTATACCTAGTCAGTTACACACACATACACACGCGTTGTTTGTTATATAAGAAAGTGGTGACAACTTCAACAGAAAGTTGATTGGAAAATAAAAACTGAGAAAGCCTTGAGATACATCCTGGACTTTTTTTTTTTAAAGAATAGAGAGAAGAAATTATTTACAACAGCTTTGTAACTTATTACACTTATGTGTGTGAGTGAGAGAGAGAGAAAGAGAAAGAGAGTACATGAGAGAATATGCGAGAGAAAGAGAAAATTGTTGGAGACCAATATGAAGAGGTCGTGGGAAAAGGACCCTGAAGTCCTTGAGCGCGCGCGCGCGGAACAATTTTTCATGGGATGCTAGCGATGCCCGACACAAAGCAGCTCACTTCAAGCATCTTTCCTGTAATGATCGATAAGACTGGAGTTTCGCTATATGGGATTTCTACACAATGCTAAAAGTTTCCTTCTTTTTTTATAGAAAGAGCTCGAGTTCTCGAGATTTTTAGGTCTAATATAACTTTAATTTAATAAACGTCGAAGTTTATTCGATATGAAAGAGTATATATCCATGAATTTGTCGGGTACATGAATATCGCTCAATTCACGAGATCCTTAATCTTCCTGACTTCTCATGTAAATTTTTCAGAAATTAACTGTTAGATTTTTTATTTTGAAATTTTGAGATCTTGAATATCCAAGATTAAAAATTTTTTTGAACCTTTCCGTTTCCAATTCGCAAAATTTTAATTCTCTAGAGAACTCAAATTCCTGATCCTTTTAACCACTAAAGTTTACAACAAAGTTGTAAATAATTTCGTTCTCTCTATTCTTTAAAAAAAGTCCAGGATGCATCTCTAGGCTTTCTCAGCTTGTATTTCCCAATCAACTTTCTGTTGAAAAGTTGTAGTTGAAAAGTTGTCACTTTCTTATATAAAGCGTTAGTAGCTAAAAGGATCAGGAATTTGAGAATTCTCTAGAGAATTAAAATTTTGCTAATTGGAAACTAAAATGTTAAAAATATTTAAAATCTTAGATACTTGAAGATCTGAAAATTTCAAAATAAAAAATCTAACAGTTAATTTCTGAAAAATTTACATGAGAAGAGTCAGGAAGATTAATGATATCGTAAAGTGCGTGATATCCATGTACCTGAAAAATTCATGGATTCCGAATATAAGATTTTAAATTCATGGATTTGAAATCTATGAATTTGGATCTTTAAATTTTTAAGTATGCAATCAATTTTTCAAAGATCTCAAAATCGTAGGAATTTTGAGATAAGAGGAATAAGTTTGTATGAGACATGAAATACGTGTAAGAACTTTAGAAATACGTGTAAGAACACGATAAAGTCATGATACAGAAGAGTCGAGATAAACGATTTAGACCTTTAAATCCAGGAACATCGAGATCTTGAGAATCACACAAACTAACACTTTGCGCGTTTTGAAACAGCTGGTGCGACGCGATATAACATCGCGTCAAGTTCGGAGACTGTAATTGGCTTACGAATGCTCAGATTTTATTACATTTTATTGTAATATCTCGTTTTAATAAACATTTTTCAGAACAGGTTACACAAACCGCCTTCAATCAATAAGATAACTTTTAATTAGACTGTGTAACATTAGAGACAGAGATTATAATTAGATACAGTGAGAGGAGAGCCGCGAGTGGAAGATTCTTGTGTGAACTTGCAAAGTGTGCGTGAAGAACTTTTTTCCTTACCATCCTTTCCATCTCATGACATCGTTTGTATAAAAGAAAAAAAAATTGTTCCGAAAGTGCAGTCTGAATGATTAGGAATAATTATAAGCAGATAATTAACTACGAGAGTGTAATCACAGTTATCATTGGAAGGTATACGTTTTTCTCCCTCATGGAACTCTGTGACTTTGAATTTGCTCGATTTGGTGTCCTCGCGATAACTCGCATCCTGTTTTTCTGTAAAAGAATTATCTTATCTCCAATACAAAACACAGCGTTCTAGAGATTTTAAGTTTTTATTTATTTTTTTCTACGTTGAAACATTCAGATTGCTTATGACTCGCTGCGAGAACTTTGACATCATCCGAACCTCGTTAGGATCGTCGTTTTAAATATGCTCCTAGCGATTAAATGTCCTTCAACACTTAACAAAGTTCCTTTACGTAACAAATAAATACGAAGACCCCAAATCGCCAAATATATGTATATGTAAATTCCGATATATCTAACAATTATTATCCTTACATCCCTCCTAAAAGCTATATCTTATAAGAGTTTGTTTTCAAGTCCTTTATTCAATAAAAGGGTAACCGCGAAACAACGCGCCTTCCTTGATGACTTTGATTTTTTGCGACGATATTAAAATCGAAAACTTGTCTATTATAATCGAAATAAACAAAATAACGTCTAATTAATTAATACTGTAATCTATGTGTGCTATGTTGGACCAGGCTCATGATTCTTTCGACTGTTAATTATAACCGAAAGAGAGAAGGTATCAATATACATATGGAAAAAGAATAATAGTATAGAAATACTGGAAGAAAATATTCACAGGAGCGACATGATAATGTCTTTTTTTAGCCCTTTCTTAGACTGACTCGCCCGCACACTGCCATCATTCGGAATTTGCAAAAAAAAAAAGGAAATATTAAATTACTTTGTTAAGTTAATTCATATAATAGTATAATTATGGAAGAAATAAGTTATGGGTAATAATATCGGTGGTGTAAATCAAGTGTAAAAAAAGGCACTAACATAAAAACTGCTTTTCTTTTCGTTTATGTACTTACGAATTCTACGCGGTATTTTTTTTTTTTTGCGTCTCCGTTACAAGAGATAATCTAGTGCGCTCATGGATCATATAGAATATGCGAGATTCTCAATATGTATGATTGCGCAGTCATTAGCAAGGGTTCAAGGATTTATGGTACCAGGAGTCTTCGGTATTCGTTTGTCACCTCACGTATCAAGAGTGTCGACGAGTTTCGAGGATGAGAGTAAAAGGAATATTTAGTTGTTGCTTTCAAGGTGCAAGATTCGTGGTACTGGCGATCCTTCGAGATCCTGATAACTTGTCAGTCCAAGGATCTGTAGTATCAAAGATCCATGCGTATTAGAGCACGCCGGAACAATGTATACGGAATAAATTGCGTAAGAAAGACTCCGATAATAGGGATCTGCAGCTTTCTAGAGGATCTATGGTACCAGCAGATTTTTGTACTCGTGAAATTTAATACAAACGAATAAAGTTTAATTTGAAAACTTTTATTTACGCATTATATATGGATTCATCATTAACAAATGCAAAATGCAACCGCTCCTTTTGGACTTTTGCGTAAATAAGTCGTTTTACACTGTCCCTCGGAAAGGATTAGCTGTGACACAAATTTAACTTTAAATAGCGTAGACGGGTTATCCTTTAATATCCAAATGTTATAATTTTCAGTTTGTCTCACTTTTTCCTATCTAAATAATTTCAATATAAATGAATTATTTTTTGTGAGCAGCTTTTGAAAGATTTCCATTTGCGAGGACAAAATTTCCTTACAATATTTCCTCCCCAACTTTACGCAAACCGTTGTATTGTTTTCAGCGCTAAATATCGCGCTTTTAAATTTAACCCTAAACAGTATAAGCGGAACATTAATACTTTTTAAACATTACAAAAATGTTATGAATTCGTTACCGTTTTGCAATCATTCATAAAACTTTATACAAATCAAAAGAATTACTAAATGTATTTTTTTTAGCTTTTACATAGTAAGCATTATGTTATTATAATTCACTCTCTTTTGCATTTTACATTGTTCTTTACCTAATTTACCGTTCTAAAACGCGTTGCACCTTTCCCGCATATTTACAATAAACTCTATTTCATTCTAAATTAAACAAAGTATTTCATACTGTTTAGGTTTAATCAACGCGTCCGTGATTGATTCATATCTCTTTAGGGCAACAAAGTACAGTAATAAGTGTCATCTCCGATAATGCAGACAATAATTCGTAGAATTTTATGAGCTCTATAGATACGGTCCGACTTGGAAAAGGCTCAAGTCACGGCATTTAAAATTCCCAAAGAGTCCAACAAGATTTTACGACCTATATGGGAAAAAACTCGCAAGACCGCCGCAAAAGATTCAGAAACTCTTAAGAATCCAAAGTCCCGCGGATTCTAAAGATATAAAGACGCCTATGAAAATCGAGAGATCCCAAGCGAGATGAAAGGATCCAAAAATACCATGAAATCTATTCATAATCGTAATCGAAACTTTCCTGCTCTTCACAAGATCAATTGTTAGCGTTTCGCCTCTGCAGCGCCGCCGCGAGATCTTGCCTGAGCGCGGCCTGTTGTCTCTGGTCGGCCAAAGATTGCACCGACCGCAGCCCATTCACGATGTCCTTCGTTTTGCCGAAGTAGATCTCATTTAACGTGTTACGAATCTTGTTCTCCATGTCTTCCACCATTCTGCCGATGTTCGCGATATGAGGGGACGTTTCGCTGATCTGCGCGTCCTGCTCCACCTGCGATTGCGAAACATGCAATGTTTTTTAATCCGCCAAGACGCAAGGCGAACTTGGAAGCGAATCAACGAAAATGGAGCCGAGAGCTTGGCGCAGTTTTCAACATCGTGTGTCGAATTGTAAGATTTACCTGACGTGTTAAACTGCCACCCAAATTCATTGTACCAGAGCCATGCTTGTTGGTCTGCAGCCACAGCATGGCCGTCGATGTGAGTTTGTAGTGAGCGGTGCGGCCGGTCGATTTCTCCTGCACCTCGACCACGTGTATCGAGTCCCAGCATCCCTTGATCTTCTTGGAGCCGTCGCCGGCCTTCTTGATGAGAATCACCGCCGCAAAGCCGTGATCCAAGTCCCACAAGTACACCGACGAGACTCCACCTTCGAAATAGAGCTCTCGATACTGATCAAAGGCATGATTGGCGTCTATTTCGAGTTTCCTCAATCGCTCGGAAGGCATCGAGCCATCCTCCAGCGGCGGATCGTAAGTGTTGCTCCAGGGAGATCTGTAAAAATCGTCGTGTTTGTTCGATGGACAAACTACCTTCTTTCCACTGAGTGACCTAAACAATTCTAAAAGAGTTGCCATCAAACCTGTAGGAATCCCCGTCCCTATTGTAGTCGCACAACAGGTAGTCCTTGCCAGACTCCTTGTCCTTGGCAATCTTCAGCGGTTGATCTACGGAGGACAGTAGATCCTCGCACAGCGAAGGAACCAAGTCGATCAGGTCGCTGAGGTTTTTCTCAATTTGCTGCGGAGGCAGTCTCCGCATCAGGTCTAGCGCACAATCCATTTGCTGCTCTGTCTGCGGTACGCACATGTAACAGAGAAACGGGAGTACAGTACACAACTTATGCATTCACGACGCTGCTAATCGACCCCCTATTTCTCTCTCCGGGCAACTACGGTTTCGAGCGCGAGCGAAAGGGGTCCGCGGACGACCGCGCGAGCGGGGCTTGGCCCCCGGACGGTTCCTGGAATTGCATTTAATTGCCGAGGCACACGCGTCTAGACGCGACGACAAGCGGACGGGCGAAACGCAGAGGCTGATTGTCTTACCATACTGTCGCAATTTAAATTGGTTATAGGCCGACGAACATCAAAATCTTATTGGCCGACGTCGACAATGAGGTAAACGTAAAACGTATTTTTTTTATTAGCCACTACCTCGCCAGGATCGTCTCAAAAATAAACGAGACGGGCATTGAAAGGGTGTGTCGTGGTGCGAGCGGCGATTGGTTTGTCGCGCTCGTCGCTGGGCTGTTGGCCTCCGAAAGGAGCGAGGTTAACTGTTCGCGTCGCAGGCTGGCCAAACTGAGCGCTCCCGCGGCGGCCGCCGCGTCGCGCGAGCGGATTGGCCGGTCGCGCGCGCGCGCGAGATTGCGCTGATTCGCGCTGATTTCACCCAGTGCAGATGGTTCTCTCCACGGTGTAAAGACACAAGGTGAAACATTGCGCGTGCAACCGATTTTTCGGGCAAATTGTTGATTGGCTCTTCCTGCGTTCGACCGCCAATGATTTGCAGTTGGAAGGTTGGGGCAAATTTCTGATTGGTCCAATTCGGCGGTTTGGGCCACTTCTGATTGGTTGACACTGGCGCACCCGCCAGATTGCTCCACCTTGTATCTTTAAACCATGGTTCTTCCATTCTTCCTGTATCTCAACCCCAGAAATGTGAACGGACCTTCATGCGTACGTCCCCGCGCGTTTCGCGCCTCTCTCTCTCTCTCTCTCTCTCTCTCTCTCCGATGCGCGATTAAAAAAGGGCTAATTTTTTTTTTACCGCAGTCCTGAATCTCTCTATGACAAACGCGCGGAATTTGCTCTCCCCCTCCCGTTCTGATTCTCTAGAGATCGCGCCTCTCGTCCCGCGCGTCATCTCGTCGCCGCTATTGAATTCATCACCCTCGGTCGAGCTCCCGAGTGCTACGTGTACGGTGTGTGTGTGTGTGTCTGTGTGTGTCGTGTACGTGTACGTGTGTGCGTGCGTGTACATGCACGGTCCGCGTTAAACTGTAAAGTGTTTGGACACATTGCGTCCCGATGATGGCGAGTCTGCGTGAATACGCGCGATTAATCCGGCAGTAATGATAGTGATCGCGCGCCTTATCGCGGCTGATCGCGGGTGACGCGGCGAGCTCGCGCGGACAAGACAACCGGGGCCTCGTCTCCCTCCCGCCTCATATTCATGACCCTGGTATCCTCGTGAGCAAGAAGCGAGAATGGGTGTTGGCCTCAAACCACTCGAGTTCACGGATTGTTTAACCGACAGTCCGTACTTCCGCGAGAATCTTCACTACCACGAGCGCGAATTGGAGAAGACCAGCCAGCAGATCAAGCGGCTCGTTAAGGAGGTCAAAGATTTATTGCTGGCCACTAAGAGTGAGTTCGGGGGACGGCGGTTCCCCTCCCTCCCCGCCCTCGCCTCCTTTTTTTTTTATCCGGCCCGTCGGGACATGTGATTGTTGTAACAGCTGTTGCACGTACAATTTAACTTGACGAGCGATTAGCGAGAGTCGGCGCTTGTGCGACGTTTCTCCACGACGCAGCGAGTTTTAGGGATAGCGATCTGCCCGCTTTTTCCTCCTTCGTTAGAGATAGACGAGTATCCGCCCCCCCTCCCCCTCCCATTAATGTAATCCTAGACCGGGCCTTGTTCGTTAAATTAGTCAATAACGTTGGTGTCTTTCTAGACCTGTCGAGGGCACAAAGAGCCTTTTCCAAAACGTTGCAAAACTTTAGTTTCGAATGCATCGGCGAGAGCCAAACCGAGGACGAGACTCACATATCGCAAAGCCTGAAAGAATTTGGCAAGCTCATCGCATCCATAGAAGATGAGAGGGATCGCATGGTACGCAACATTCCGAATGCGGATAAGGACTAGTTTGTAGTTGTAGCTTGTAGTTCTGGTTTGTAGAATCTATTTGCTCCGCCCGTGGCTTCTGACACATGACTCTGCGATTCTGTAATGTTAACATAAGGAAGGATTCATTTAAGTGCCATCTTTTAAGAGACTGCTATGATGTCATCGTCGGGTCTTAATATAGCTTTTCCTCCTTCTAGCTGGAACAAGCGTACAACCAGATTATACTGCCCTTGGAAAATTTTAGGAAAGAACATATCGGTGGAGTTAAGGTAAAGCCATGATTCTTACATGCGTATATATTTATTTGTAAAATACTTCAGTTTTAACAAATTAATGAAGTTCACAAGGCTCTCGTGTGACAAACATAAATTCGAAGGAATAGGGACCGAAGAGCCGCGACAGGATGTTAAATGTCTAGATAATTGTTATTTGAAATTTATTGCGACAAATACTACATCAGCTAGGATGAGGTGATATTTTTCGCGATAAATTTCAAATGAGAATTATTTAGACGTTTAACATCCTGCCGCGGCTCTTTATTCCTTCGTATTTCAGTTTTATTTACCTAACGAATGTAATGAATATTCCTCGCATCCGACATTTCAGGATGGAAAGAAGAAATTCGAGAAGCAGACGATCAAATTTTGCCAGAGCCAAGAGCGTTACTTGAATTTATCCACGAAGAAGCAGGACAATGTTTTGCAAGAGGTGCGTTTAATGCTCTACGAAAAACGAGAACTGTATATTTTTAAAACGACTGACATCTTGTATGTGCATGTGCGCAGGCTGATGCAACCTTGGAGATGGCCGAGAGACACTTCTCCCAAGCCAGCCTGGAATATGTATTTTTACTGCAGGAGGTTCAGGAGCGGAAAAAGTTTGAATTTGTCGAAACGGTGATTGTTTGAACGACTACATAATTATCTCTTCTTGCGTTCGCTTAAGTCTTGCGCGTGAAACACGTGTGCGCGTGCCAAATTGCTAAGCACAGTCTAACGTGGCGTAAAACTTTCTAGTTGTTGGGATTTATGTTTGGATGGCTGACATTCTATCATCAAGGCCACGAGGTTGCGAAAGATTTTAAACCTTATATGACGGAGCTGCAATTGAAGATCCAGAAGGTTGGTAATTAATTGCTGTAACGCGTCTCTAACTGCTTAAACGTACGTGTTAAGCGATATAAGAGAAAGTATTTTATCTCTCTAGTCGGTATACTTATTTCCAGCTAATTCGCATTACGCGAGTGACGATGTAACGTAGAATCACTATTTTAACGATTTAGTGCTACCGCTGCTATGTTTTGTATGCAAGAAGATGTTTTTGAAACATGCATCACTAACATTTAGATACACGTTTGTTCTACAGTATTTCTAATATCACTCACAACGAGAGTTCTTAGCTTGAATTAGGCAAAGTTACACATGCAAAACACAAGTTAACAAGTTAGTGATTAATTAAAAATTAATTTTGATAGATTTAAAAAGAAACATACAGAATTCCGCAAGTAACGCGCGCATATGTGGTTGCTAATAAAACAAATTTAATTTGTGTTTACATTGCGCATTAAAGTAGAGTTTAGCAGAAGTGCATTGTTATAAATATTTGATATAATTTTCTTTTTGGAATCATGGTATGAGGATATCGCTGGAACAAGAACCATGGCCTCGAGCCGTAGCCGTCGAGAGATCAAATCTGTAACACACGGCTAAATTACTCTTTATAATATATAAATTTATTAGGATTGATAACAGCATGGATAATTGCTTACTAATTTTTATTTGTGTGTGTGCGTGTGTTTCACAAGACTAGAGAGAATTTCCTTGCTACCCGGGATAAAACTGAATCACTTATGAATAAAATGAAGGACATGAAAAAGGTACGTTGTATAGAGATTTTTTTGCATCTCTTCTTTTCATTACCTAGTAAACACCAGACGTGTAGAAACATGTTGTTTCGTGGTTTTGCAAATATTATTCTATCGCATAAAGTGCATGCGTTGAAAATCAAGTATATCAATTTGGTTACTTATCAATAATTATGAATATTTTTTTAAATGTAAAGTATCCTTTCTGTACATACCCATAATCGTTTTTTTCCCTTAGTCCGCGGTAGAAAGTGGTCTCAATAAGTCGCACTCGCGTGAAGGCTATCTGTTCCTAATGGAGAAAAGTAAGTCCATTGTAGCATAAACAGATGTTTTTTTGGTACACGGGTAGAATTTTCTCTTAAAATTTGTCCTGAAAATCATGTAATCGTGGGGCAACACAGCATTTCGAAGAACTTTGTGAGTTTCTTAAAATGTCATGTTGTTCCACGCTTACATGATTTTCAAGGTAAATTTTAAGAGAAAATTCTCTCGGTGTAAAAACTAATTATTTCGGGGGCGCTAGTACAACTGCCTTTTATATTACAAATGTCGCCGGTTACATCGCTAAAAACATGATGTTTGTAGAAGCATTTGGTACAACATGGACAAAACAATATTGCACATATCAAAAGGATAGGAAAGAATTCACTATGATCCCTTACAATCAACTCACAGGAAAATTTGTAAGTGAAAATTACAAAGAAATTATTAACACATGTAACGTGTGCTCTTATCGAGGATCTTTGGGATAATGTCTCAACTTTTTTTTTTATAGAGTAGCAAGGAAACCTTTACGCTAGCGTCTTGCATACGACGAACATCGGATACCATCGAGAAAAGATTTTGCTTTGATATCACTGCCGTTGATAAGTAAGTTCAATTCAACTTTAATCATATTGAACATACAGTTATTTCAGCCTACTCTATTTCATTCTATAAACGAAAGATGATTAAAAGAAGCCTCTTTGTTGTTTGCAGACCAAATGTAACATATACATTCCAAGCACTTTCCGAAGAGGATAGAAAGTTATGGATGGATGCTATGGATGGGAAGGAGCCTGTAAGTATCTTGGTGCATTTAAGTGATGTCGAAAATCGCTCTTACTAGTAATATCCTTTTTCTATCTTTCATGGGTGCGTGAATTGTGTGTAATTATCGAGGTATTTTTTCAGACCTTCAGTCCGCGATTAGGCTCTTCCGCAAAACCTGAAGATTTGACATTGGCTGAAACCGGTTTTACGTTTGTGTCGAAATGCATTGCGGCGCTGGAAGATAGAGGTGATTCTTTGTCAAGTTAATCGAGCTTTCTGATCGTTGATTTTAACAATTATCCCTCAATAATCATTCAACAGGACTAGAAGAGCAAGGTCTATACAGAGTGGTCGGAGTTGCTTCTAAAGTAAGCAAACTCCTGACGATGGGTCTTGATAAGAGGAAAGTGGATAAGCTCAACCTCAGTGATCGTTTTGAGTGGGAGAGTAAAACTATTACCAGTGCGCTCAAAACTTACCTGAGAACATTGTCCGAGCCGTTGATGACCTTCCGATACTACAACAGCTTCATTACATCTGCGAGTGCGTATAGGTATTCTTGATATCATATTGTTTTATTTTTACCATTGTGTCTATTTTTGAGGGTTTAAGGGATTCCACGAGAGATTTGCTCTTTTCTCTCTTTCTGTCTTTCTAAAGTAAATACTTGCCTTCGCTCTCCCCGTTATTATCATTTTTTCGACATATCAGTAACACTGACAGTGAATGCAAAACTAAAGTTTTATTGTGATATTTATATGCCATCTAACAGAACAGGAGATGAAGGAAATTCGGATAAATGATATACACAGTCTCGTTTATCGATTACCTACGGCCAATTTCAATATGGTGACCCTTCTTATTACTCATCTTTGCAGGTAAGAAATTATTATATTTATGGGATTTAGCGCTATCTGTGTATTTCGGAGATTTGCTTATAGACTATTTTCCTGTGATTTCACATTTTATTCGAACTTGGATGAAATTTTCAGCGTGGCGAAGAAAAGTGATAAAAATCTGATGACCGTGGGGAACTTGGCGGTGTGTTTCGGTCCAACCTTGTTACGACCAGAAGAAGAAACTGTAGCCTCTATAATGGACATAAAATTTTACAATATTGTCGTGGAAATATTGATTGAGAATTGTGAGAGAATAGTAGCTGGGCCACCCCAAGATTCTTTACGCGCGATAGCGGCACAGTCCACGCTGCAAACCAGCGTTATCCCAGGCAAAGTGCAATGTGTTATAGTAGAAGAAGGCCCGACTTCCTCGGGCAACGGAACGGCATTTTTAAGATATCCACTACACACGGCGGTAACGGTTACACCCGCATCGTCGCACGCGCACGTGAGTTTTCAGCATAGTCTTTTCTTTTATCGTTTTAATTTCGCATGTATATTTATGTATATCTTTGTTTACAGCTTGTTACAAGATCTTACTACGACGGCCAGCCTTTGACTGTTAACAAGTCGCCTACAGTCGACGAGAGAAACAACGGGGACTACGAGGATCTCGACAACACAAGCCATCGTATACCATCGTACTTGGACAGTCGCATCGGTAGCACCAGCGGCAGTGGCAGTCGCATCAAATTGACTAACACAAATCTCATGTATCATTCAGCCGACAAAGGTCTCTAGTTACATTCCTCTTTGTTGTATTCATAGACTTCTATATACTACTAGGCTGCTACTTTCGAGTTGAAAAGTGAGGCAAGAGTTCCGTCATGTTTTGTTAAATAAAGTAGTATGTGTGATACACCGATGGACACACACTACTTTATTTACCTAACAAGACATGGTGGAACTCTTGCCTCACTTTTCAGTTCGAAGACAGCAGTCTAATAGTATATAGAAGTCTATGGTTGTATTATTTTGCAATAATCCGTAACGCCACTTTTTTTATACATAAAAATTTTATTATCTCAGTCCTGAGCGGTGGTAATACCAGTAGTTCGAGCGAATCGATCGCGTCGGATCCTCACCCCTTTACAAGCGAGTTACCGATAAAGCAAAAACGTGGCACCATGATATCCGTTCACTATCCTACGGCTTATCCTCAGCGTAACAACTCGTCATCGATATGCCCGTAAGATAATCAATTTTTCCGTCGACAAAAAGCTATATACGTTTTGTCGTACATTCGATAAATTCTTGATTGTGATTTTATGCATAATTGTAGCATCAACACTTCGCCCAGCAGTGGACGTTCGAGTCCTGGCCAAATTCCAGGAATTTGGTAAGTACTCAATACGTAAAATTTAGAAAGGTTGAGATTCTAAGTTTGTTTGAATTCTCAGGAGAGTACGGACCTTATACGCCTGTATGGCAGAAAACGATGGCGAATTATCATTTGAACCAAATCAAATTATTACAAACGGTAAGAGCAACGCGACATTATATATTGTTGATTTTGAAGAAAGCACGTAACAAAATATACTATTGCAGTCAAGGCCTCTTTGGAGCCAGGTTGGCTGGAAGGTACATTAAATGGTAAAACTGGTTTAGTGCCGAAGAATTATGTGGAGCAGCTACCCTAAGTACCGCGAGGATAAGAAACCAAAGAGCGTCTGAGAAAAATGTAGACAATTTTATTATTACAAGATAAATTTACAAATATTCTTTTAATGTTCTTGACACCAGTGAAGGAAGCAAATTAATGAGAGCTACGCTATACAATGCAAAGACAGCCGTGTGTTGAGCTTTCATATCAATTTTGGCTATACACTGCTTAGTCAATTATATATATATATATATATATACTCTTATGTAAACATAATTTATTAGAAGCCATCTTATTCTATGTGTAACTAAATTGTATATATAATCTCTTGCGAATGATATACATGTGCATAAGGAACATACAAGATTAATATTTCTTATGTATTTGAATACATTTATACTAAAAGAAAACATTCCCACGCAACATATGTATATGGAGATTCCATGGAGCTTGTAGGAAATTTTAAAGGCAATAACCATTCGTTTTATAGCATTGTATTATAGTTACAATAAAATATATAATGCCATATTGAGAAAAATACTGAATATCTCGGAACATTTTACAAACCTATCTATTATTTAATATTCTATCGCGCGGATATTAGAACAAATGCAAGACGTAACGCTTGAAAGACTGGATTCGAAGAACTAAACTTCAGTTTCGTTATAACTCAACATTATACGATCAAAGCATAAATGCACGAATATGTGAATAGATATATTTTATCACAATGTTGATTCCTGTAGAATGATATGCATAGTTCGTATCATTGGTTGACCCGAAATATTGATAAAAATGTCTATTTTTAGATACGCGTCACACATACATCTAACACAGTTACTACTCTCCAATTCAAGAAGGAATAATAAAAAAAACAGCCAATTTCACAACTTAAATTTTAATATTTGTATCTTGCTTTTTAAATGTTGAACTCTCAACTTGCATCGAGTCTAAGTAATTATATTGTTACTCAATAACAAAATACTGATAAATGTAGGATTAAAATGCAAACTGAAAACAAACACTTAAATATTTTAAAATTTGATGCATATAGTTATAAAATATTTTGTTTATATTAGGTGTACAAATGAATAATCCAATTTTTTTTAAGCGACTAACAATAAAGTATGCAAAATATGCATTGATGAACTAGTGCAATAAATTAGAGTAAGACAAGAATATATTTTCTCATTGTAGCTTACTGCACTAGTCCATCAGTGCAGGAACAGAAAACAAACCTTTAGTATGGCGAAAGGCTCAACATAATCATAAAAATTCAGTTTAGTAAAGTTAAAAATGGCAACGGATAAGGTGCATATCCGACACTGCATTCTTTATGAATTCCAACAAGGAAAAAATGCTGTAAAAGCATGCGAATCAATTTGTTCCTTTCTTGGCGAAGGTGTTGTATCGTACGATGTGTGCGCATTTTGGTTTAGACGGTTTAAAAGCGGCGATTTCAGTCTGAGTGACAAACAACGCATTGGAGGTCCTCGGAAATGCGACAATGACGATTTGGAGCAACTGCTCGCTGAGAATTCAGCGCAAACGCAAAAAGAGCTTGCAGACCAGTTAGGAGTAACGCAACAAACTATTTTCAAACGCCTACACGAAATGGAAAAGATTAATAATGAAGGAAAACGGGTCCGCATGAACTCAGTGAAGCCAAAAAAATCAAGGAGTAGCAGTATGCCTTTCTCTTCTCAATAAGCAGCGTAGAAAGTCTTTCTTGTAAAATGTATTTTTTTTATTTAACCAAAAGTTTTGCTTGAGCTTAATCATTGTATTACGTTAATTCTTTGGAAGTAAATAAATTATTGCAAAAATTTGACGTTTAGTTTTGATGTAAGTTATTACTCAACTGCGTCATGTAAATTTCTATAGCTAAACGTCCCGCTTTTAATGCATTCTTCTCTACGCTATTCCAGATTGAACTCATAAACAGGGTGTAACATAATATTGCAGTTAGAAGAATACACACTATATTCAAACCGATGTCTACGGCTATGGACATGTTCATGCAATTCAGCCAGATAGACCAGATTAATGGAACGATCAGTATACAAGCCGACAATCCATACCAGAAACGTTGACGTTGTACGCTCTTTAATGCGTTATCGCAAATCTCTGTTGCTTCTTTCAGAGAATCAGTAACATCTAGATCGTTCGTAACGTGCTTATCTGCAAAACAAATGTACATACACAAGTCTCAATCGTTAATAAGAAAAAGTGAATAAACAATTAAATGCATACGCGTGTGATACACGCGGAATATTTGAATGTACCATCGGTAAATTTCAGTGTAGCCATCACAGCTTCATGGTCGGAATAACTAAAATTCTTATATGGCACACGATTTGGCAAGGGATGTTGAAAGTTTGTAACTTCAACCTGAAAGTTATCGTGGATTAATGACTGTACATCGTATCGGCAGTTTCACGCGTCGATCCCTCACCTTCACAGTTTTTGAGCCCAAATACATGATATGATCTATACGCTTTCCATCCGGCTTCGTTCGAGCAAGTTTTGAGCTGGTGTAACTATTATTGGCACATTCGTTGGTCCCTCTATGGCTCGCACTATTGGGGCAAGCGTCCGCTAAGCCGGCAACACCTTGTATAATTCTGTACGCCAGGTCCTGCGGCTCAGTGTTGAGATCGCCGGCTAACACGACGGCATCCGCGCCGCCGCTCGTCATCCTTACGAATTGGGCAGTATCAAACGCCTGCAGCACTCTGTGAGCCATGTACTCGTCGTTCTCTCGATTATATTCCGCGTGTAACTGCAAAGTAAGAAACGGGCGAACGTTTGACATTCTATAAAAGACAAATCTTAAGCTGCACAAGCTGTACATTACACTTTTTATATCACATAGAGGAATGACGCTCTCTACTCGTAATCGAGTGACGACGAAAGCGTTTGCCAGCTAGACGTACATGTGTGATGTAAACGTTGACGTTCATGTTGCGAATGTTTATTTTACACAGCCCAACTCCTTTGCCACCGAACCAGTCCCCATGGTGGATCTTGTGAACGTAACCGTTCAGCGGCCACTTGTGAAACATAACGTCGTGAATGGGATACCGTGACAGGACGCATACTCCCGATCCGAAGACACCGCTGGGCAGGAAGCATAGAAATTACTGGTAAACAACTCAAATCATCTGGACGGTCTAACGCCGGTATATTACATTTGTCGTACAACAGAGTTTTCGAGCGCGCCGATTGGCTGTGCAGGATAGAAGAGCTCTCGAGTATCTAGAAATTTTCTAGCTTACAGACAATCAATGCGCTCAGGAAAATTATTGTACGACAAGTAGCCTTAAGGTGCCGTTGTACCTGTGAAAGTAATGCGAGTAGGGAAGCACTTCCTGCGCCTTCGTCTTTATCAGTTTAAAATCCTCGACAGACCAGACCTCCTGCAGGCAGATTATATCGTACTCCCGGCTGGCACATTTGTCCGCGATAGCGGATATGCGCGTGCACCTGTCTCTCGAGACATATGGTATGCCCCTGAAACGTCAAAGCGAACAACGGGTAACGCCCGGTCTACAATGAGTCGTTAGTCGTTAGTCAGAAGTCGGAACTATATGTTGGTCCTTTTTCTTCCACCCAGAAAGGAAAAGGATCAACATATAGTTGCGACTTCTGACTAACGACTAACGACTCATTGTAGACCGGGCCTAAGTCTAAAAGCCACGATTTTAGGCGTGTGTACGTTTTGTCAAGTGTCTTGGAACGGGTGCTCGCTCACCAGCAGTTGAGCGTCAGAACGTTCGCCGATATCTCGCTCGTCATCGTCCTTACTTCGGGTATATCGTCCTGCGGGAGAATACAACACGGCCATTAGATCAGTTGCGGACTGCCACGTTGTGGCTCGGCTCCGACAGTTCCATGCCTTTTAATAGCGAATACAGAGCGCGGGTATCTGGAGTGGTCTTTTCGAGCTCTTTCCTTTTCAAGTTATTTTATCGCCCAGGCCCACAGTTATCTCGAACTTGGAAGGAAACGGAAGGAAACTCTAACAAAAAGAACGCGTCTCTCCGAACGGCTGTTTTCACATGTTCTCCTCGCGTTCATGCGTTATATTAACAAAATGACATGGCAAGCCCTCGTCAGTGTGCAGACACGTAGGTAGGTACGCGTACATTCCTTATCGGTGCACCTTCCACGTTACGAGAAATGACAAGTCGAAGGAGTTATCGTCATTTCTTTGTGCGGGGACTCCGCACGCACTCGACACACGAACAGAGCTGGAGTCGGAAGGTCTGTTTTTTATATAACTGAACCGGCGGGGCACCAAGTTCAGAGTTTATCCTTCTTTCTCCACGTTAGACCGAGAAAGATAAACTCTGAACTGGTGCAACCTGCAGTTCAGCTACAAACAATAGATTAAAGGGCCGCCGGAGACCTCTGTCGATGGTAGCACGCATCATGGACTACGTTTCCACCGAGGGTCAGAGTCGGGCTAGAGTCGGGTCAGAATCGGGTTGGGGTGAGCGTTTTTGCGGTGGAAACACCAAACTGGGTCAGAATCGGGTTGGGGTTAGGTGTTCGCTCACCCCAACCCGATTCTGACCCGACTCTAGCCCGACTCTGACCCTCGGTGGAAACGTAGTCATTCATGGTAGCACGAGAGTGTTACGAACAGCTGTCAGGTAGCTGCTATGATCTAGCGAGCAAGTGCACGTTATTGTACGGCTACGCGCACACAGAGGCCGCTAGTCGGTGGATTCCACCCGAAATTCGAGCACGTCCACTCTTCGGGCTTCCCTCCCGGACGTTTCCTCTGACATACTCCCCTGTTCCGCGTATACGCCTGTGTTAACTGTTACGCCACCGATCTTTGTCGTGCGGGAAACGGGGACGGGAAGCGGTTCGCGGTGGTGACGAGATATCCGGGGCGTGGGGGGATCGTCGCGACAATAAGCTGCAAGGCTGTGCGTGGGAACCGCTCGCCCGTTCGCGTCCCAAGATGCCGCTCGATGGTCCGAGACTCGGTATCTCCGTCCACGAGCTCGCCGACGTCTCGCGTTTCCGCTCGTGATTCCGAATGGCAGATCTGACGGCCCCGGGATCGTGTCGTGATCACGCGACGCGCGTGCGAGATACGTAATTATCGCCCGCGCACGTAGAGGTACACCCCGCCCTGTGTGCGGTGAGCTCGCTTAACCTCAACCCGAGCTGCTCCGAGCGTTTTCCGTCTACTGACTGTGCGAGATCGACCGACGAAGATGACCACCGACAAGGTCACCCTGGGCGACGCTCTGTCGAACGTCGACGTGCTGGACGAGTTCACGCTGCCGGACGAGCAGCCCTGCATAGAGGCCCAGCCGTGCTCCGTCGTGTACCAGGCGAACTTCGACACCAATTTCGAGGATAGAAACGGCTTCGTCACGGGCATCGCCAAGTACATCGAAGAGGCGACGGTGCACGCGAGTCTGGTAAGCTTAGTCTGAATGGGTGAGTTGGCGTGTGCGCGATTCGATGGTAATGGGACGACTCCTTTCTTTGGAAAATGTAGAACGAGTTGCTGGAGGAAGGCTTGGAGCATGCGGTCATGCTGTACACTTGGAGGTGCTGCTCGCGCGCGATCCCGCAGCCCAAGTCCAACGAGCAGCCGAACCGAGTGGAGATTTACGAGAAGACGGTGGAGGTGCTAGCGCCCGAAGTCAACAAATTGTTGAACTTCATGTACTTTCAAGTGAGCTTAAATTGCTTCCTGCCGTGCTAATCGAACTACGGTTGACTTGATGCGCTAATAAAACTCGATAGCTCTGTTGATCGTTCAACGTGTGGAAGAAAGGATTCAGGGACAACAAATTGAATCTAATAGGAAAGGAGAACGCCAAGCTAATTTTTTGGTCCGAGCAGGATGAAGGTAGCCCAATACGCATGTTAGATTTAAATTATTGGGCTACCTTCATCTTGCCTGGACCTAAAAGTTGATTTGGCGTTTTCGTTTCCTATTCGATTTATAACATGGACCAAAGAAACTATAGACCGAGCACTAAGCCAGGGAGCTGTTGAATTTGCGGTAAGAGGTTGTGTCGTGCTGTCTCTTTCTACAAGAGATTACTCTTGCTGCATATCCACCATGTAAACTTGGGTCTTTCCTTTCATCACGGATGGAGCCGACAATTGCCGATGGTAACCTCTTGTAGAAAGAAACACCAAGAGGACAAAGAAAGAGATTGCTCCTCTTACCGCAAATTTCACAACTCCCTTGCCGGTTCATCTACTTCAGATTCCATCCATAGTTTCTTAGGTCCATGTGTCATAAGTCCTGATTTAATTTTACAACAAATTAAAGTTACTGTTGAAAAATAATTCCACCAAGTTGAGTTGAATCAAGTGGAGATTAAGTTGATGAGAGTTTGGCGTTTCATTGCATACCTGTATGCGATATGTATTCATGTGCACTTGCGTTTTCCAGAGAAAAGCGATTGAGCGATTTTCAGCGGAAGTTAAGCGACTGTGCCATCACGAGAAAAGAAAAGATTTTGTATCCGAGGCGTACTTGTTGACCCTGGGAAAATTCATCAACATGTTTGCCGTACTGGACGAATTGAAAAACATGAAATCTAGCGTAAAAAATGACTATTCGACATATCGAAGGTGATCCACGGGGAATATAAGATTTTTATTGAATCCTGTTTACCTGTGTACTTATTCTTAAGTGTGCTTCGCTTGATCTTTCAGGGCTGCACAGTTCCTGAAGGTGATGTCGGACTCTCAGACACTCCAGGAGTCCCAAAATTTGTCGATGTTCTTGGCGACGCAGAACAAAATCCGCGACACGGTTAAAGAAAATCTGGAGAAGATCACTGGATACGAGGAATTACTCGCGGACGTGGTCAATATCTGTGTTCATATGTTTGAAACTAAGATGTACCTCACGCCTAACGAGAAGCACATGCTGGTGAAAGTGATGGGCTTCGGCTTATTCCTAATGGACAGCGAGTTGTGCAACATCAATAAGCTCGATCAAAAGAAGAAGCTGAAGTTGGATAGGATCGATAGAATCTTCAAGAACCTGGAGGTAGTGCCGTTGTTCGGCGATATGCAAATTGCACCGTTCAATTATATCAAACGCTCCAAGCACTTTGACGCGTCCAAGTGGCCGCTGTCTGCGTCGTCAAATAACATGAGTCCGCAATCCGATCTTATGGTACACCTTCCTCAGATCAGAGAGGATCACGTCAAGTATATCAGTGAATTGGCGAGGTACCGTTAACATCTTGTTCGTTAACTCCTTCGTCTTAACTCGGTAATGCAATGTTTGACAATTGTACAGGTACAGCAATGAGGTCACCACGACGTACAAGGAATGCCGAAGCGACACGGAGAATCGTGACACCGCGGAACTGGCGTTACGCGGATTACAGTTGCTCTCGCAATGGACTAGTGTCGTAACAGAGCTGTACAGTTGGAAGCTGCTGCATCCCACTGACCATCACATGAACAAGGAGTGTCCGCAAGAGGCCGAAGAATACGAAAGAGTATGATTATCACCCTACCAATATCTCTCAGCATTTCACATTATTATTGATTTTCATTTAGAATAGTTATTTTTATTAATATTACGTTTCTTACACAGGCTACACGCTACAACTATACTGACGAGGAGAAATTTGCCCTTATAGAAGTTATAGCGATGATTAAAGGATTGCAGGTATTGATGGCACGTATGGAGACCGTTTTCATTGATGCGATACGTAGAGATATATATGCTGAACTGCAAGACTTTGTGCAACTCGCACTGCGCGAACCTTTAAGGAAGGCGATCAAAAATAAAAAGGATTTGATTCGAAGGTTAGAGCATAAACTGTATTGGCTCTGGTACAAATTTCAGATTTCTCTCCTTTATGCACGATACATTACACATAATGCACATCTGTATACATTATATGTGTGAGCGAAGTTTCTAGTTATTGCTTATAATAGTTAAAATAGCTTTAAAATTACAAGAGCGTTCCTCTACGTTAGTTCCTTTATTTCTTTCTGTTTTAGCATAATCGTTTCCGTTAGAGAAACTTGTGCGGATTGGCATTTCGGAGTGGAACCGCTCGGAGATCCCGCCCTGAAAGGCAAGAAGGATCCAGATAACGGCTTCGGCATTAAAGTCCCGCGAAGAAACGTTGGTCAGTGTTCCATTCTAATATCAGCTGCACATCATACTTATTTCTTCGCTGTCAATTTTGAAAACTGATTACGATGAAACGAAATAGGTCCGTCTTCCACGCAGTTGTACATGGTGCGAACCATGTTGGAATCGTTAATAGCCGACAAAAGCGGTGGGAAACGTACACTGAGGAAAGACATCGACGGCCAATATCTCGTTCAAATCGATCAGTTCCATAAAACTAGTTTTTATTGGAGTTATCTTCTGAATTTCAGCGGTGAGTAAATGACCATAATTTTCAACTTCGCAAATAATTATTTGCTTTCTCTTGATAACTTCCTTTTCTTTTGCAGAATCTCTGCAAAATTGTTGCGACTTGTCGCAACTGTGGTACAGAGAATTTTATCTGGAAATGACAATGGGTAGAAAAATACAGGTAAATAACGTTATTTTATTCAACTCTGCATACTCTCGGCGTAATTGTGAGATCTCCACATCGTATTTGTCGGTTAGAATACAATAGCCGCAATAAATCGTATACGGACGAGTGTATCTATCTGAGCGAAGATAGCGTTCGCCAGTTAATGAACATAAATTTTGCGATTTGTCTTGATACCTTTCCATTTGCTTGCATGCCGAAATTATTGAAAATAGCCATTTCTTTAATTTCTATGACTAGAAATGCCAAGTACGTCACCAGCATAACGAGGAGTGCAGCGACCTAATCACCATGGAAAAACGCATTCAGGTATTTCTCGTTCGCTGTGCGTACAATAGATAACCGATGCCACGTCTGAATTAATGCCGGAAATTAAGTCTCAGTCTCTCAGGCATTATTTATTGTTGCAAAAGATGTCGCATGAAAGTACGATTCGTTATATCTTATAGTCAAACGTTTAATCGGTAAACCGTTTCAGTTTCCCATTGAAATGTCTATGCCATGGATATTAACTGATCACATATTGAGAAGCAAAGAACCATCAATGATGGAGTGAGTAAAATGATTGTTAATGGCACAATAATGCTCCTTATAAATTATCAGTTAAAATGCAACAAATACGTAAACGCTTTCTATAATAACATGTAGTCGTCTCATAATAAGTATCATTGCTATTATTCATTTTATAGGTACGTTTTGTATCCCCTGGATTTATATAATGATAGCGCCTTGTACGCACTGACGATATTCCGCAAGCAATTTCTGTACGACGAAGTGGAAGCCGAAGTGAATCTATGCTTCGATCAATTTGTCTACAAGCTAAGCGAACAGATTTTCGCGCATTATAAGCAGCTGGCGGCCAGTATCTTGCTGGACAAACGATTCAGAGTGGAGTGCGTAGCTCTCGGGGCGTATTTACTTCCGTATCCACGTGCTAATAGATACGAGACGTTGTTGAAACAGAGGCACGTTCAGTTGTTGGGAAGAAGCATCGACTTGAATAAACTTATAACACAACGTATTAACGCGGATATGCAAAAATCATTGGACTTGGCTATTAGCAAATTCGAATCTGGCGATATAACTGGAGTCGTGGTGAGTTTCGCACGCACGCGACTGATTTATAATTGTCGCGCCGTAAGTAAGCGTCTCCTGCAATTAATCGATGCTTGATATCCGGCAGGAGCTGGATGGATTGTTGCAAGTCAATCGCCTTACTCATAAGCTTCTAAGCAAGTGGCTCGCGTTAGACGAGTACGACGCCATGTTCAGAGAGGCGAATCACAATGTCCTAGCCCCATATGGAAGAATCACCCTTCACGTATTCTGGGAATTGAATTACGACTTTTTGCCAAACTATTGTTACAACGCCGCCACAAACAGGTACACGTGTCTTACATTTGTACACTTGGCGGTCCGTTTTATCGATTCGATGTTATTAACGTATATTATTTGACAGATTCGTCAAGTTCCGCGGCATACAATTTGGGCAAGCCTTTCATAGAGATAAACCGCCGCAAATGTCGCATCATTATCTCTGGGGCAGTAAGCAGTTGAATCTGGCTTATAGCACTCAATATGGGCAATATACGGGATTCGCCGGTCCGCATCATTTTCGTACTATATGCAAGCTTCTGGGGTATCAAGGTATAGCCGTAGTTATGGAGGAGCTTTTGAAAATCGTCAAGACCTTGATCCAAGGAAGCCTGCATCAATTTACGAAGACTCTGATGGAAGCTATGCCTAAAGTCTGCAAGCTTCCACGATACGATTACGGATCCCCCGGAGTCTTGGGCTACTATCACGCCCAGTTAAACGACATCGTGCAATATCCAGACGCTAAGACTGAATTGTTCCATAATTTTCGCGAATTCGGCAACACGATTCTATTTTGTCTTCTAATGGAGCAAGCTCTGTCGCAAGAGGAAGTGTGCGACTTGCTGCACGCAGCGCCGTTTCAGAATATTCTCCCCAGACCCTATTGCAAAGGTGAGGAGCAACTATTTGGCGTATATAAGTCAATTCAAGTAGAAATAAAGAACAGCCGTATGTGAAGTTAGACGCTTATTGTTTACACAGTGCCATTTTCAGAGGGAGAGAAACCCGAGACCAAGCAGAAACGATTAGAGACAAAGTACTCGGCTTTACAAATTGTTCCCAACGTAGATAAATTAGGTACCGCTAAGGTAAGTGAAATGCAACGTATCTTTCCGGGTATAGGCAATATTTTTGCTTTTTTTTAACCTAATCTAGGCGCAATCTGTCTTTTTAGCAAGCCATGATTGCCAGGGAAGGAGATTTGTTGACGCGTGAGCGACTGTGCTGCGGTTTGTCGATATTCGAAGTTGTGCTTAGCAGATTGCGGAGCTTCTTGGACGATCCCATCTGGGTCGGGCCGCCGCCAGCGAATGGTGTAATGAATGTGGACGAGTGCACCGAATTCCATAGGCTTTGGAGCGCGCTTCAGTTTGTATACTGCATACCCGTTGGTGAAACTGAATTTACCGTTGAGTTAGTATAACAATTAATGTGATATAACGTATGCCTCTTTGTGTATCAACAGTGTAACTATAACGGTCGCTTCTTTCTCGTAGAGAGTTGTTCGGTGAAGGTTTGCATTGGGCTGGATGCGCCATGGTCGTCCTTCTGGGCCAGCAACGTAGGTTTGAGGCACTTGATTTCTGCTACCATATTCTTCGAGTGCAACGTGTCGACGGTAAAGACGAGAACGTTAAGGGAATAGTAAGTATATAATCTATATATCTATATATGACCGGTGATTCGCTCACTTCACTTTCCAACTGACAATTATGTCACTTATCTTTATAGCACTTGAAGAGAATGGTGGATCGAATAAGGCGATTTCAAGTATTAAACTCGCAGATATTTGCCGTGTTGAACAAATATTTGAAGAGCGGTGACAGCGACGCGGCGAGCGTGGAACACGTGCGTTGCTTTCAACCACCGATACACCCCTCACTGGCGCACACGCAACAGCATTATCACGCACCTGAATATTTCCGCCAGATAAATCATCAATAAGCGATAACTGTAAAACAGTTGTATTTTGCGTCCTGATTGCGTCACAATGCAATTTAACTAGGACTCGGTAAAAAAAAAAGAAACGAAATCATTCCTTGTTGTTTGCGGAGGAATATTTCTAGCTAAAATTTTAATATCTTATATCACCTCGGAATATCATTTGTACCCTATCTACTTAACTCAATTGCTATAAATGTTTACCAGAATACATTTTTTACGACTGAGATAAGATTAATAGAATTACGGGGGAAAAAAAAATTGCAAGCGACGAATGTGAGTTTCACCTACTTCTGAAGCACGCCATGAATTTAATTAATCTATTTAATGATACGTATGTCTAGATGGACTATATGACTACTGCTTTAACAATTTATAAAAGAACTGATAACGTACGATAATATATTCTAGATATAAACTATAGCAATATCCGCCAATGTAGTAGAATATCTATGGACTTATATATTTTGTAAGATATTCCAAGTTTAATCAAAACAAGGTATTATATATAAATATTATATTCATATCACATAAGTTTGTGTAGTGCTCATGTACCGATAACTATGTATAAAAGGCACACATTTTGTAACACTACTCGTTCATCAGTTTATTCAGATATGCACTGAACGATGTCGAATGAGTTCGTATTGACACTAAATGCCATTATTATTTGAAAACTGTATGTAAGGATTATTATATCTATAATGTTTCGATTAAACAGTACAAATTGACAAAGTTATGTAACTTTATTCTCGTTAAAATTATAATTCTGCAAAGAAATCGGATCGATTATTAACTTGACTGCTAGGAAGATTGTGCTCGAGCCACTTTCGCTTTCCACCTTTCTTCGGTTCATTGACGTTCAAGGTCTCGAAATACTGTACGTTCCAAAATTTGATATCGTTATCGTGCGAAGAGGACGCTATTAAAGTCCCGTCGTTGTTGATATCGAGCGCCTCGACGGAAGAGTCGTGTTGCCCGACCACGCCGAGTTGGTGATGAGGAAACAAACTAGTCGCCCTATTCACAGACGTGATATTACAATGAATCTCGTATAAATGACACAATCTTTATGTATCAAAGCGTCGCGTGGTTCTCTCTTTATCGCCTTACCTAACTGTTCCATCCTCGTCACCGGTTATCACTACGTTTTCTGTAATGGGGATCATACAATTTATAGCCTTCTTCGTAACACTTGGAAATTCATCCGAATGTAGTCCGAATTCTCCCCAGTTGTACACGTACATTTTCCCTTTGTTACTAGCCGATAATAATTTACTCTCACATTTAAACAAGCCGAGGCAGGTCAGGTCATCATCGTGCTCCTCGGACTGTGCGCAATACACGTGTAAGATCAACTTGGTACACGATACGATTATTACGGTGATGGGCAACGTTTTACATTACCTGTACGTGCAGTTTTCTTTCCGGTATATTTATAGTCGTCAGACCGTCCCCACTGGCGCAAACTAAATACTTGGCGTCTCTATTAGTTATCATTGCACTGATGTAATGTTCTGCCTCCTTTATAGAAAATATCGGCTCGTTTTCATGTCGCCTGAGGTCCCAAACTTGAAACAGGGTTTTTTTCATGTATGAAACTGACTTAGCTCAGTAGGTCTAGAAGAGGCATTAATTATCGTTACGTTTTACCACACCGTCGTCGTCGCCTGTTGCAAACACATGCTCGTTGATTATCGTCATCGTGTATATAGGTTGCCTAATACAATTAGATCGCATTAGTATCGCCGGCACGTTAATGGATACCACACATGGACGTATCGTACATACTCGTGGACTCCTTCGTAGACCCTAATAAGTTTTCTCGTTTCTACATCGGTTATCGCAATACACAGGTCCTTCCCAGTCGAGAATAATGACTGTCCGTCCTCACTGAACTCGATATCTCGGCAAGCTTTAAGATGCAATTCTACAGTCGATACAAGATTAGTCTCCTCATTGTTATAGCTGTACCTAGTACCAAATAATAGATATATCGTTTCGTTAACACTAGGGGGGGGGGGGGGAGGCTTGGATCAAACTCTGATTAACTTATTACATCTACTTTTTCATTAATGCGAAAACATGAATATATTTTTTCCACGTGTGGAAAACAACGATTCAATCAGGAATATCAAATTAGATGGAACTTGAAGCAAGACTCTATCGACTGAATAAAGTCGCTCTAACATTGTCAGACTTACAAAAGAACGTCTCCCGTGATGCTGGCCACGGCTATAGTGTTCTCCTTGGGGTGGAAACATATATCCGTTATCATATCTTCTAGCGTAATGGAGGGCGGATGGTTCCTGTGCAACTTCTTCGCGTTCAATATAGCTCTGGTAACTTCGTCCGCGTCCGAGTCAATGGAGTCTCCCTCGTCTTCGTTTCGCTGAGACGACGAGCCGGCTGGAACCATTTAAAACCATTTAAAAGCTGGAACCAGATCGCTTTCGATTTATGAAAATTTACACAGGAACGGAAAAGAATTGTGCGGTGCCCGCAATGAGATCTTTAAGACGTAAGATTTAAGAGAAAGTGAGCTATCACGACCGAATGAGGAGAATAATCGACCGCGAACGGTCAGTTTCTTAAGTCTTCATTGTAGACGCCGCATTAGAGAAGTACCTGCCGAAACGAGCGCCGGGGCTTTCAACCTCTTGACGGGAATTTCGTCGTCGCTGCTACTCGACGTGGATACGTTCGTCGAGTTCTCCTCGTCGTCGTCGCTAATATCCTGGTCCTCCACACTCACGTCACTGTCGTCGCTGCCGGACTCGTCGGACATCAGATTATCTGCGAGTCAATTATACTCGTGAGACAATTCTGTATTTTACACCGCAGTGAAAATACTAAAAGCGGGTAGCTTCGTCTCATAAGATCGCCGACTAGACAATTATGTACGTGAACGGTTGACATCGCGAGGCAGAGAAATTAACTTCGAACCGTAAGGGAAGAATTTGCAACGAAAATAGTTTTGCGACACTTGAAACGCGATACGAACCCATCGATTTTCCTGTTCTCCAGTGCATCCTTGGAGGAAAGAAACTTTACGCCTCGTTGACTCTCCTCCGATGTAATCGAGGATCACGAGCGAGAACTTTAATTGTATTTCCGCGACGCTGCACGACGAACAACCAGCCACGACAATTGGCACCACGCGGCCGCCACGCGATGACGCGCGTTCGAGGTTAAAATTCGACGGGCGGCGGTGTAGCTAGTGCAGCACCCGACGGTACCAGCCGCTCAGAGTTCGCAGCACTTTTAACCTGCAAGTGGGAAGAAAACATGCCCGGCGTGCGCCGTTCGTCCGCTCCTTATCAGACTTCGTTAATCGTCGACGCGGAGGTGAGATTTCGAGAATAATGCGTCCGACCTGAAGCGCGAGACAGACGACGCGCCGCGGCTGTGAATCCCGCGGAGTATCGCAGAGTGCCGCGAGCGCGGTGACGGTCGGCTGTACGCCAGCCTCGAAAGCGCGAGGAAAACGCGCGCGCGGACACCGTTTTCGCGGGCGCGAGGCGAGACCCGGCGGGCACGATGCATCCCGCGAACCACAAGACTATATTCGTGCTGGATCACACGCCGTACTTCGGCATCTCCACCGAGTGCCCGCTCGAGTTCGACTTTCTGAAGAGCAGGGGACAGAATCTGATCCCGCTGGCGCCGGTATGCAAGTCCCTGTGGACCACCAGCGTCGAGGCCTCGTTGGAGTACTGTCGCATCGTCTGGGACCTGTTCCCCGCGGGCAAACTGGTACGCGGGCCGAATGCGCCGCTTGGCGCCGTTAACCCTTTGCACTCCGAATTATATCTCATCTGTTTTCATCTATTGGTTTGGACTTGAAAACATGTCGAGTGAGACTCGGCAGGGAAGCTCCTGAGATTTAAAACTGATGTTGAGTCACACTCGGCATAGGAGTGCAAAGGGTCAATGATCGACGTGACTCTGTTGTCATCGTTATTTTTCACCTTTTTAGATTAGATTTGTCGTGACCGACCGATCGGCTTACGTACTGAACTCGTGGAGCCCGTTGCAGCAGAATTTGAATCACGCAAGTGTTCGCCCTTCCTCATTAGTTGAATAATGAATAGCTAATTGATTAGATGCCAACGCCTACGGTTATTGACCGTACAGGGTGCATCTCTAGGCTGGTATGCGCGTCAACGGGAGTAATAACGGAGGTGATTTTACTTGTAGATAATGAACGGCACTGCCATTTTAGGAGTGCCGACGAAGACGCCGGAGCCCGGGGAGGATTATTCGGTGATTCACGGCCTGCGCGTAGCGATCGAGACGCTGAACGAGTGCTCCGAGATACAGCAGGAGAAGAGGACCTCTCTGAACGAGAATACCAGCAAGCTGATAAACCGGGGCAGAGTGATATGCATTACGAGCGCGCGTGACAATAGCAACATGAAGAGCTTGGAGAATATATTTTTAAACGAACTGGCGCAGGAAAACAAGAATGCGCTCGCCTCGGATCAGTTAGTATCTTTTCTCTTCCTGTAAACGCCTCGTTAAATTATCGTGCACCGTATTCAGTTCTGTTCTCATTTGCAGCTTGATTCCCGTTGATTATTGTCATTTAGTCATACTGAATATATACCCTAACAATATTGAATCTCAAGTCACTAGTCAAGGCCCTCGAGAGGTGAGTCTGTAGTCATTTTTTTCGTACTCTCCGTTTTGTCGCTAATTAGTAAGGTGTACTCCCCAGTCTTTCGTAAGATATCCGATGACGTTACAACGCGGTTAGGCGCCCCTACGCTGGGACTCGTTTGCGCGCTCCTCCAAATTTTGCGCTCTACGCTGGAGCGTCATTACGTACCGCCTAGTAACGGCACCGAGGGTGACGTTACAATATGCTTAGGCCCGGTTTCACCAAACGTCGCTTAACTTCTAAGTTTAATTCATATTTATCTCTTTCTAAAGTAATAGTTGAACAGAGATAAAGAACGAATTAAGCCAAGTTTAAAGTTAAACAACATTGGCGAAAATGTATTTTAAGCGCCCCTTCAAATTTTGCGCCCTACGTTAAAGCGTACATTGCACCGCCTAGCACCGAAGATATCTTTCGAATTGTTTTAAATGACTTGCAATACTTTTTACGGTAACCAGAGTTCTTAGGATACTATTCAATTTTTATTTTGCTATTTTTGGAAAGTAATAGTAACATCGATTTTTTTCTACACAGGTGTCACCGTTTCTTACAGTAGAAGTTCACTCGATCAAGGCTTCAGCGCTTCATTCCAAGTTGTCCCATTTGATTTTGTCTCATTACGATTTGGCCAGTACCACAGTAACGGGTATACCCATGAAAGAGGAGCAGAACGCAAGCTCGTCTGCCAATTACGACGTAGAGATATTTCATTCTTCTGCCGCGCACACGGCGATTTTAAAAGGTTTTCGTTTACGGCTGTTTCTTTCAACAATCTTCAAATTCAGACACTAAAGTTTCGTTTGACTGCAGGTAATCCGCAAGACTCCGCATTGATAAAGACCTTCAGGCGTTTCGAGGAGGGCTCCGAGTACGAGACGGTCACACTGAAGTGGTGCACGCCGCGCGGCTGCAGCGCGTCAGAGATGCAGAACTGCACGGCGATGCACCGAATCACGCCCGTGGATGTCAATAGCAGGCCATCTTCTTGCCTGATCAACTTTCTATTGAATGGCAGATCAGTGATGCTGGAAATGGCCAGAAAGGCTGGTGGAAAGACCATCTCACATTTATTAGCTGCGCACGGTGGCGAGATTTTCATTCATACATTATCCACCGCTCGAAGCGTCCTCGAAGATCCTCCCTCCATTAGTGAGGGATGCGGCGGACGTGTTACGGACTACCGAATAACCGTAAGATGCTTTTGTAACTAATGTTTCTAATATTTCTAATGTTCTTAATAATTACAAGACTACAAATTTAACAAATCTAGTCCACATTAATATTAACTCCGTCATTTACATTACTTTATTAATTTTGTATTAAAAATTCGATATCAATGTTAATTTTACTTCTGGTATTTATATTTTTTGTATTATAAGTGAAACTTGACTTGGGATACAATTCGTTTTCAATCTTAATTCGTTAATATTTTTGTCGCAGGACTTCGGTACTCTCATGCGAAGTAACATATTGGCACCATTAAAACGCACTTCCAGTTCTAGTACTGACGGTCTAGTAGAAAAGATGAGATCAAGACTGGAACGCCATACCAAATACTGGCCCATGACGATCTCTAGTACTCTCATGTTTAATTTAAAACAGGTTTGTATATTGAGGAAAGGTATCATGTTTTTAAAAAGGGTTTTGAAAAAGTATTTCTATTTTTGTTGTATACATAATCATTATTAGAATAAAGTGAATTAAAAATATAAGTAATACGTTTTGATTAAATTTTGGAATATTTTAATTAAATATTAATTTATTTTTATAAGAAGAGATTTAAAATTATATTTTATAATCTACAAGAATTCAGAACATCTTAGAATTTCGAAGAACTTTATTAGTATTAAATTCTTGACAAGTCTAGAGAAAAATATAAACACTAAACATGATTAAATTTCTCATACAGGTAATAGACCCAATTCCTGAATTATTGGTGAAGGAAGAACTTAGCACAGAAGAGGTCCTGCAATGCAAGAAGGTGATTTTTAATGTGCTCGAGCTAGAGGCAAAACACGAAGCTTTGCCTCTGCCAAGCATCGGCGGAGGTCGCGGTGGGAAAGGCGGAGTACGCAGAGAAGAACATTATCGTTTGCTGTGGGATGAGATAGAAACATTTCTTAAGCACCACGCGAACAACTCGGCCGCACACACCGAAGTCCTTAATTGTTTACTGCAGATTAGGAATAAAGATGAAAAGGACAAAGTGGAACTTGATCAGGCTCTGCGGGAGTTAGATAGGTAAAATATCTTATTTGTGAATTACAGCCTACTTATTTTAAACTAAATTGAAATTTTCGAATTACTATAACCACTTTTATGTACGTTCGTATTTTTAATTTATTCCTACGTCTTCATTCTTATTTGGACTCTATCGCAATATGAGCATCAGTTTTACTTTATAATAAATTTTTAAAGATAGAAATAAAAAGGACTATTCAAATGTAATCCTACAGAACGCGTTATAATAAGCGTTATTTTTAATACATTATTATGACAGTCACATTATTAAATTATACTTTATTATTATTACAATTTTCATTCATTTAGCGAAATTTTGTACAAGTTCTTTGCTACAAATTAATTTGTAAGCAAGTAGAATTTAGTCCCGGTTTCACCAAATGTCGCTTAACTTTAATCTTAGTTTAATTCATGTCTGTCTCTTTCTAAAGTAACAGTTGAAAAGAGACAAAGAACGAATTGAGCTAAGCTTAAAGTTAAACAACGTTGGTGAAACCGGGCCTTAAACAAATAAGTATTTATTTGTTTGTATTGATATAAGCTAGAAAGATAAGCGATGTAATCATACGTGAGGACGATAGAAATTGACAAATCCGAATGTTAGATATCTAATCTAAAATATAAGTAAAGACTGAAAAAAAATAGATTTAAAGATTCAGGAGTCTAAACTTGTAGTTTCAGTAAGGAAGATGGAACTGCCAGAGTCAGCGTAATCCGAGCAACGACGGACTCGCCAATGTCACCGCCAGCGAGTGTGTCGATACCTCTGACCAAGCAGCTACACAAAGGTAACGTTGCGTCCAAGAGCCTCCTGGACATCTGGTTACAGCGCAGCGCCCCAAAGGAGAGAAAACCAGATTTTCATGGTAGAATCACCAGCGATGGTCCTAAAGCGAAGCTGTATCCCAATTTGAAGGACGTTGGAAGGGAACCCAGAGAGACCATGCTAGAGGGATAACGAACGAAAGAGACGGAGTGCACCGCGTAGGGACACATTGTAAATATTATATATATTAATAGATTTATCCAATCATCTTTCGCGATTGTGCGACAGGATGTGTTTGACAAGTTGAAGCGCGAACAGTTATGACGGTAATTATGCATTTCTTACATTAATTAAAAGCAAGTGTACATTTCGTGTCGAGTGAAGATATCTAACACACCGTGTTTATTATGTCGACAATCCTGAAATAATATATAATTAAAAAGATCGTAATTTTTTAAATTATTTAAAGAAGAGACATTTCAGTTTTTTAAACGCATACACGATAATTTTGTAACAGGATTTATTTAAATAATTCATAAATCTCCGCAGGACGTGTTTACATAGAACTGACATTAATAAAAATGAAATCGATGAATCTTCGACAAAAATTTATGGATTTAATTAAGGATTTATATCGCAAAAATATGAAGCGACAGAAACATTTATTAAAATCCAGAGATTTATAGGAAATCTCCGTCGCAAATTAAAAATTTAAAAATAAAAATTTATCTTGGCACACACCAACCGGCGGATTTAATAAAAGCTAAAGATGTATGGCGAGAAGACAATAGGATCTATTAGAGACTGGAGACGGATACAAATGTACAATAAGCCGGAGAGATTTCGACTGAAATGCGGAAGTTTAGCCCTTCGGGCAAAGGACGAGATTAGGATGTAAGGATACGATCATTAGGAGTGGCCATCGTCGGTGACGTTAACGTCGCACAAAGACTACCTGCGTGGGACGAAAGTGTATCAGTGGTACAACATCATTTCCAGCTCCCCTCCTCTTCCTCCGTCGCCGACCGCTCTGCACCCCTCCTGCTGTTTTATTAGTCGACACGTCTGCCGAGTGTCTGAGCCGTCTAAGCGATACATCGACCTCTGTCGAATCTATAGTTCAGTTCGGCATGCGCTCGGCCAAGCTAATCGATAAACGTGGAAGGAGAGGAGCCGGGGCCGGAGAGGAGCGAGGAGAGGAGGCGCTCGGTCGCGTGTATTGCGTGTAACTCGGTGTGACGCGCACACGATCTCTCTCTCTCTCGCTCTCTCAATTTGAGCGAGCTAGATAATGAGAGGAGGATGCACGAACGGAAGAAAGCCCGCGTAGCGTATACCCGGGGATTTGGAAGTTTGCAAGTAGCATAATCGTAATTTAGGAGCTGAGAACTCCCGTGGTACTGAGAAGATCAAAAATCCAAGAGGGTTGAGAATTAAGAAAATTGGACGGTATAGGCTTATTTACACGTGTATTAATTCCTAATGTAAATCAGGACTCCGAGAACATCGAGAATTAACAATGTATAAATCCCAGGTGCCGCGAAGTTTGAGAGTCCAGAGATCCACGCGATTCAAAGTCCCAGCGATTCCTCGGTGACGTCCCGGACTCCTTGCTCCAATCCACCTCGGTTTATCCCGTACGCTCGTCCGTCCACCCGGAGAGAGAGGGTACGAGCGCACAGTCGGAGGAAAATTACGTGACGATGAAATCGATCCATTTCGAGCGAGGCCATTACTTATGCTGCACCTTGTATAATGCAAGCCGCTAAAAGAGAGATAGACGGAACCGTCGGGGCGAGGGGGACGGAGGGGGGGGAGGGGGCAGGCTACGAGAGAAGGACGAGGCGGAGGTGGAGGAGGAAGAGGACGAGAAAGAGGAGGAGGGTTGCGGAAGGGGACCAGTGAGTACAAGTGCATGACGTAACGGTTCATTCATCCCGAGACAGGCGATAGAGGATATCCCGGTCAATGGTATACTTATGCATGTAAACGCGCGCACACACGCGCACACGTACGTGCGCACGTGTGCGACGTACGTAAGTATGAGTAGCGCGGCGTGCACATGTCTGTCGCGCTGCTCATTTTTTTTTTTTCGGACGTACGCCACGCGCCACGTGCATGCATGCATGCATGCGTGCGTGCGGAGATGAAGCAACACGTGGTAGAACGTAGAAGTAGAGCCTGTCCGAGCCGTTCGGTTTCTTCGCGAGCACTTTCGCGCCCTTCGAACGCGGATTTTTCACGCCGAGGAGCCGCCGCGAGGCGGTCTCGCCGTCACGGCCTTAGGCCGTGGTTTCACCAAACGTAGCTTAACTTTAATCTTGGGTTTAATTCACGCGTGTCTCTTTCTAAAGTAACGGAAAGAGACAAAGAACGAATCGAGCTTAAAGTTAAACAACGTCGGCGATACCGGGCCTTAGATCCTCCACGAACGTCACTTCGGAGAGTCGTTGACTCCTTCACGATTGAATTAGGTTTTGTTTGTTATTATTGTCTTTTTAGGGGACACTTGCGGCTCAAGGAACTAGAGAGGCGAGAAATGTAAGTGGGACTTTTATGTTCCAGTGGTCGTGAAAGGATTAAGTGCCTCCCTTTCGTCAATACGGTGTACAGATTTTTCTATTTTTTTAAATGCCCACTTTTTGCCGACGATTTTGTGTACTATATAAATTATACGTGATACCCCGCTATTTTATAATGTATTAACTTTTGTGATAATTCAATTTAATTGTATCATATTGCAGCTTTCGCTTCTTAGATTATAGGATTTAAATCCTGTTAATTAATGATAGTTTCAGGTAGATTCTGGCGATTTCCGTAAAATTTGAAATTCGTCAAAAGCAGAGGAAAGTCCCCTATTATGAGATAGGCTCCTAATATAAGATAGGGGGTTTCTGTTAAATTAATAGGCATCGTCTGTTGATTCCATCATGAATTTATTGCCCTTGGGGCGATATTTGTTTAGCGAAAAATCCATTGTTAGTTTGTGTAATCGTGGCGAGAAAAGATTTGTGATTGAAAACGGAGGATTTTCCTCCATGTTTGCAGAGAATTCTCGACCGCATAAGCTTCTTTCTTTTTATAATAATCGTGCCGTAAAATAATTGGCAGCATTCCGTTGCTCTTATCAACGCCGCATTTCGATAAGAAATACGACAGTTAACGGACATGACATAAGCCCGTTGTAATAATAGGAAGTACTAATAGGAAGTAATGATAACCGTCACGATAATAGAACTTGATGATCACGTTATCACAGTTGTATTTATATCCGTGCAAAAAAGACTTTCTGATAAATCCTTATCGAAGACACGTAGACTCCTGTATTTAGTAAACGCAGCCTCTAATCGCGATCGAATTATTATCGGTCGACGAATGGTGTTATGTTAAACGCGATTTTTTTGCTCGCTGATAAAAAATAACCGAGCGTAACAAGATCGACAGCGTTAAAATCGCGGCGGAAGCCAGACGGATTCCGGCCGCAGCCGCTCGCCGAACGGCTGCGAATCGACAATTGGTATTGCATTATAATATGAAACGAGCGTGTTATACGGGCCGAGTTATTATATGAAACATATATGATGATCAATATCAATGAAGTGCGATAATACGCGCGCCGCGTGTAATTATTTATAGCGTTCTCAATATTCCGCGCCGTAAATATTAAATACCGTACGCGTGTGTATCGCCCGGCAATACCGAGCGCTTAAATAAACGTATTAATTGTTGCTGATAGCGCGGCGCATAGCCCGGCTGCATCGCGCCATACCGATACGAGAGCGCGGCGTTTATATAATTGAAACTCTCGCGTGTATAGCTGGTACATATCGATCGCGGCCTCCGAGGGTCACTGAACGAAACGAAACGAGGGAACGAAGCGGGCACTGCGCGAGCACGTAGCCGGGCGTCCTTCCGCGCCGATAAATAATTATAAGCCAGGAACTTTACTGTAAAAATCTCAAGTGCCGTGCGGCGTCGATCGGATGTCGTCGTGTAAAGATCAGTTAATTAATCAAACAATACGTTAAAGCTTAGAACGCGGAGCTTCGTGTTTCCAGCAAAGATACGTGTGCATTACTGCAATATCTTTGCTGTCCGTTTGCCTCTTTTGATTTTATGAGTCTTACGAGTGTTTTATTCTCGCGCGATAATCACGCGTTTGAGTTTCATTTTAATTGATTCAATTTTACTATGTCTATATAATGATACTATAATTTAGAAGGAAAGGGACTGTTAATCCAGTGTTAATTAAATGAGATTATTGGACGGGTAAGCGAAAAATTGATTTGGAAAGCGAGGCAATATTTGAAGGAGCACATCCCAATTTAATATAAATTTATGTACCACACATATATTGCGTATAATATTATTTATTTTCGTGCTTTGTTTATTGCCGATAAAATGTGTACGTACCTCGAAGCATTGATTAAGGTTTCGTTCTCTCTGCATCGTTTCGATATTAAATTTTATTTGCTCGAATAAAATTATTAATAACGATTCAGCATGTTCCTTGAAAGTTCCTCGTTGCTCATAAATCTTTGATTGTTATTAGTGTACTCCTTAAAATATTGATTTTTATTTTACGCGTAAAGTCCTCTGTTAAGAGACAGCAGGTTTTCATCATCGAAATTTAATCACGAATCTTTATTCACAACGATTACACGATTTAACAATGAATTTTTGTAAACAGATCTCACTACTATCTCATATTAGGAGCTTGTCTCATAATAGGGAACTTTCCTCTATATAAATTTTTCTTTTTTTTTAGTGGGAAGCTACTACGAGCAGTTGATATTTCTCAAAATATTAATTTTCATTTATTGCAGATCCAAATCTTTCCGTGTATACGAATATATTTATTAATGTGACTTTAATTGCGCGAAATCTTTGGACGGTTCACTCGGTACACGCTACAGCAAGACTAGAAGCTCAGGTTTGAATTTTTCAAAGTACTCCGTGGAGCCCCATTGAGAGAACGCAGTGGTAGCATGAAACCCGGTTTCCCTTCGTAGGGCTGCCGCCCTTCAAGGCTCACGGCCGGCCGGCTCTTTGTCGACCCTTTGACGTCCCTGCAGGATGTGCGAAGCACTAAAGCGAAACGCAGGGACGTATTCGATGGGGAAACGTACAATGTGTCTCTACGACTTTTCAAACGGTCTCGAACCACGTTTGGATTTGCGAAACTAGCCCACGTACAGAAAGAATTGGTACGAGACTATGTTTAAACCAGAATGTTCAAAATTAAATGTATACACGCAAATTGATGTACAACATATATTTGTACGATAGAAAGTATTATAGCGAATAACGGACTGAGACGATTGTTTTTTGTGTTGAGACTTTATAGTAAAAATAGAGATTACAAAGGTTGGAAGTATTGTGAATACCGAGAAAAAGATAATTGTTCAGGGAAAGCGATAGATCTTCACACGTGGAAAATAAAAATTGCATAATTCTTCTCGTTCAAAAATTTCAGCATTTAGTCATAAATTTAGTTCAAACAATTCTCTAAGCTCTGTATTCTGTAAGAAGATTAGTCTCCATAAGCTCTACAGCTGTACAGTTCTATAGTTCTATAACTCTTTCTTCTACTCGCTCTTTCTCTCTTGCTCTACAGTGCCAGTAGCTTCTAAATATACGGCGTTGCAAACAATTTTTGCAGAATATATTCCTAAAATAAATTGTTATTTCGATTTTACTGTAATGACCGTCTTATAACTCTTGCGCATTTTTTAAAT